TCTAATTAAAACTGTGTGCTATTAAAATACTTCTCTTCATTTATGGATTATTTGTCGCTCTAGATTTAATCGCATGCGGTTGATATCGAAACACGTGAATCAGATCGCAAGAGATTTCAATCGTACAAGTTTATTTGAACAATGTTCAGTTGCGATGTTCTCGCGTACTTCTTGTACTATGCAATTTTCTTCACGATATAGCGCACCGCAAACAACATCAACGAACGAACAACGTACAGTTTGGTAATATCATGTCGAAATTCCGAGTATCTCTTGTCCAAACAATGTACGCTCGCTTAAACCGACGATAAGTTATGACGAAGTCCGCGTGGAATTTCTAACATAAATTTCAAGCCAAATCCCTAACAAACATCCGTTCGGTTGTGGTGTGACAAATTCATCAACGGGATGTGGGATACGCGCGCGACGTTTCGACGACATTCTTACACCAGCGATAAAACCAGTGATAAAAAAAACACACACAAAATGCCTTCGCGCGATTGCATTTAACCCCGTGCTGGCCTTCAATAATGCCCCACATGACGCGCATTTTTTTTAACACCCAAAGTCGTCCACATACGGGATGTCCGAGAAGTCACTACGCGTTTCCTCTGAAAATGTCATGTCCTGGACATCGTCCAGACGCGTTCAAGAATCTCATCAATTAGAGTAATTTCTGAAAGGTGCAACACATCTAATTGTAATAATCCGTTTAACGCGTTTCAAATTTTGACTCCGTTTTATTTCGTTTACGCGTGTGGGCGTTTACGCGTGTAAACGCCCGAACGGCAAACAATCGCAACGGCAATCAAATTTTTTATTGTTGAGAAGCGAAGACATCTACTCGTCATCCGGTTAGCAAAGGTGTCTCTTTAATGCGCTGTTTGTAAAACTACACCGCTCGTATAAGCGTATGTGAGAACAGCTGCACGACTCGCTATCTTATCGAACGCGACTATCGTTAAATACTTTCTTGGTAGCAGGGAGGAAACACAAAAACGGTGGTGGTAGTACAAGAGAATTTGCGAGACACGGAAAATTCATTGCGAAAGACTGCATGGGATTTTTTTTGTTTTTAATTCGTACACAGAAAACAAAACTGGCCGAGCAAAATTTGTTCCACGTACAACGTACTTGTTTTTATGACGTGACTAAGGCCGGATGTGTATTCATGATTGAATTTTATATTTAAACCTGTAGAGGGCCGAACTGGCCCACATATGGGCCAGCAACAGACTTAGCAACTGCATGATCCATAACTGTAGATTACATGTGTGCATGAATTTTATGTGAAAAAATGTTTAAGATTTCAATGAAAAAATGCCGGCCCTCTACAGAGAAGATAGTAACGATAACTTTGCGTTAAAAAACGTAAATTAAACAAAGAAATTTACTCGAAAAGAAGGCGCTTTAAATAGCCAGGCATTAACTTACGAGGCTGTCCTTAAGCCTAACCAACAACAAAAATCGTAATTCTAAGTTTATCCCAACAACAAAAATCGTAATTCTAAGTTTATCTTCAAATATTCTTGTAGCCAATAAAATGACTCATACATCATCCGAAAAGATAATCTTCTAGGAACTCTTAATTAAAGTTATTGATTTGAGGTTTATTTATTTAATTGACTTTCCGTCGCTATGATATAATAAACTTGTTTTGAAGACAATGCAAGGTATAAGCTGAAAAGTCCAATGTGATAAGACATTCCGATTAAATGTTTCCAACGTCATTCTTTGTGAAGAATGTATATAAATTGCTTGTGTGTTATGCTATCTTTTGAATAAAACCATCTGTATTTACTTGCAATCATTGACAATTTTGTTCGATCTCTCTCTTTTTCAAAGCTATTCTTGTTTCTTCTTAATCGAAAATAACGTGGAAAATTCATCATTTTATTTAAAACACGTTTTAAAGTAACTTTTAAGTGACCACATTGTAGACAAACATATCAATATAGATAACGATCCGAGAAATGTAATGTGAGCCTATATAATTCGTGACATCACACGCATTTGAAAAATCTACGCGGCAGCGGCACTCGATTGCACAAATTATTCCTGTAATATTTATATTTATATAATTTACAAAAACATAACTTTTTAAAATTTTTGTCTGACGTTTCAAATTCGCTCACTTTGACATTTGCAACGATATTTGCAACGGCATTTGAGAATCTGAAGAAGTTCGAAAATTCGATAATTGTTTTCACTTACGTAGATCAAAGTCAAGAGAGAGACGAGCCAATCGTCTACCGCGCTCGAAATGTAATCAAAATTAGTGTGAGTCACATACTCCACTCGGATTGAGATAGGGCTAGGTTCTTATCACTCGGCGATAAGCAAAGAGCATCAAGGAAAAGCGTTCTCTCTTAATACGTAGGCGCGACACGTCGGCTCGAGGAATCGGTGTGACCATCGGCACCGCCCATTTTTTTTTTGGTTTTGTTTTTTTTGTTTGGCGACTCGGGCGATATACCTGATCGCGACGAGTTTCGTCCTTGATCTTAGGAATTAATGCGCTTTCTTTATTTAATTTCATCAAGACCACCATCGTGGAGAACCACAGAACAAAATAAATTTGTATCTACATAAACTTTGAAGATATTATATATTCTCTTCCGATCCTAAAATTTAATTTGTATTGGAAATTTACAAGCGGCTTTTTGCTTGATATCAAGTCTCGAACACCAGACCTGGTTCAGACCTGCAAGCAGAGGCATGTAAGACGAGCATTTTTCACTTCCCACACTGCAATTATCTCTTGCAAAACAACTTTCTTCACGGTATTTTCTTACGATAGTTCATTACCTTATCGGCACTTCGCATCGCATATCTCACATGTAATTTTTTTGCTCAATGAAATCCGAACGTTACATCGTAACGCACGTATAATTCTGAAGACATGGGAAAAAAAAAAAGACGATATTTAATTTGAGCGATGAAACACATCACATTCAGAAACTCGTGAAATAAAATTTCGAAGGTCGAAATCGAGGAATGTTCAGCGGGTGCTAAATTGCAACGCAAATATTGCAGGTATCTAAATCGTAGCGATACGGTCGTCTTTTCTCGATCAGAAACATTCGCGTCGCACGCGCCTTTCTCTCTCGCTCTCTTTCTCTCTCTTCGTCTCTTTCGGTCTCCCGACATTTCCGATATATCTCGCGCACGGATTAATTCCAGACGAGGACGAGCAAGAGCCATAGTGAACCGAGAGTGCTATCTTTAGTTCTCGCCTTACGAGCGAAAGAGAGTCATACGCGGGTTTCTCTCTTTCTCTTTCTCCTTTTCTCTTTCTTTCTCGTTGGCCGGAATAAGACCAATTTCTCGAGGATGTGAGACGTTGTTTTTTTTTCGTAACAAGGTGGGTGTCAGTTCACTCGGCAATAACAAAAAACAAAAAAACATAATGTCAGTAATAAATAAATTAAGGCTGCTCTTTCTTCAAGTCATAGATCTTTTTTTTAATTTTGTACATTTTGTTTTTTGTTTTTATAATTAACGCGAAAATGTTTCTTTAAACACACGTAAACATAACAAGAATTCTGACGCAGTAGCTTCTGGCGCGTTTTTGCATCACGCGTTTGTACCGCAGTCTTGTAAATATTTTGAAGCCGGCATTCGAGAGAATGGCCGAAAATCTCATGCAAAAAAAACTTCTCTGGTTCTGATTAACGTTAAACGGTCACGAATTACTAACGCCAACTCGAATTCGAAGTCAAGCTTGTACTGACACGATGACTCACCGGTGCTTCGCATCGCGACGTACATGTTAATCTCGCGACACGATTTGCGTTTTCCAATTTGTCGACTCTAATCTCTCTCTCATTTTGAGACCCGATGTGTGAGAGAGCCGATTTATTTTTCCATTGAAATCTGAAACTTTTTTCACGGAAAAAATGTATTCACATACTGTAACTACTAAATGTAGCTAAGTCTGTTGGTGGCCCATATGTGAGGGCCAATCCGGCCCTCCAAAGGGTTAGATATGTTTCATCTCAGTCGGAGTTATTCAAAGAGCCTCATTAAAATACAAAGTTCTAACCTTCTTCAAAGTCGTAGCTGCGATACGCGAGGAAAGAATAAATATTTAAAGACAGTTTGTTTGTAGCACCACGTCAATCCTCAAACGGACCGACCTGATCTGACTCAAAACGAAATTCATCTACTAATTCCACTATGATGATTTTCTAAATTCTTGCTCAAAAAAAAAAAAAAGAGACAAACAATTTGAACTGAGGTTAGAGTTAACCGACATCGAACAAAACTGGCCCTAGGGGGAATTGCGTTCACATGGAAGGGCCGGTACGCATCTGGCATTTGCACCTGTATCGCGCAGCCGCTTTCACTGAGATAATGCCGAATTTCACAGTGGTCTTAAAAAAAAAAAAAAAAAAACATTTCTGCTAATTTAGAAAATTTAGAAAATCACAAGAATTGCTCATTCTAAATAGCAGGTATACAATACGTGATAAAAACTCGGATGGTTCAAAGTAGAGAGATAAGTGTTTAAATGTGATATTCGAGATAAATTCATTTTTCATAGTTATTTTGGTTACTCTCAGTCCACGATGAGTCTCTTCGAGTTTCGATTTTTGACGCGTTGTCAATCATTTCACGGTCGATAGATATTAAATTTTATTTGTCTTTCAAATTGCGTGTATTGAGTCTCGAGTCTTTTAATAGCAAGTTAGACAATTTTGAACTTCTTGAAACACGAGACCCGGTGGCCAACCGACCCGCGGTGCGAATTGAGAAGGGGAATTGGGTTAGCACGGCGGGCGTAACGTGCGTCGCACCACGCTCCGAAATCAAACGAGAAGCAAGGATTTAAATAATCTACCATCATTCGAATGCTGCTAACATAGGACTCATCGTGTACCGTGAGATAAAATTGACGAAAAAAAACGCTTCGATCGCGCACCGGGAAACAAGCGCCGAGGTGCCGACGTGTGTCGGACAGGAAAGAGATTTGCGGACAAAACCGACATTGCACTCACGTAAATCAGTCCGGAATAGTACCGGTCCTTGAGGTTATGCAGAACGGAGGCCTCGTTCAAGCAGGTGAGCTCCGCCATGTCCTCGACCTTGTCAAATTTGGGCGGATTCATCTTCTGTATGTCGTCCTTCGCGACGAGCACACGTTTGCCGGTCTCGGCGATCTCCACCTCGACCTCGTCGCCGCGCTCGCCCTTGATGCCAGCGGCGACGAAGCCCTGGGTCTCGTGCGGCACCCAAACCAGCTTCTTTTGCGTCCATTCCGCTTGAGTGGCCGGATCGTTGAAACTGTTCCTGTCCACCGACAAGAAGCGCAGTTCAGGATCGGACCGGTCTACCCTCGAGTCCAAGTCCGCCATCTTTGTTTAGCGCACACACGACGCGGCAAAGCTGCTGCTGCTGCTGCTGCGGCCGTTGCTGCTTCTTCTCTTCTCTCGTTTTCCTCTTTGCGTTCTCTCTCCGTGCCCTTAAATTTTATTTTCCTCACGCACCAAACCAGCGTCCTCCGTCCGTCTCTCCTCGCTACTACAACAAAACTATCCCGTTTTGTACCACGCGTATCGCGACACGCAACCGATAATCTCCGACCGAGCCCAAACGACGACGTGCGACGGCGACTGCCGCTACTAGCTGTCGCCACGATCCGCGATCAACGGCGAGTCAAAAACGAATGTGCGACGACGGCATCGCCAACACCACTGCCACCTTTGTCGCCACTACCGCCACCACTGCCTCAGAAATGCAACACGAATTTTTCTTTTTTTTGTCGCGAGCAAACGTCTACGTAGTTCGACGTTCGATCTTCTGTTGTTGTTGATTACCGCAGTTGACGCCACCCTCGTTCAAACGATATTGCAACGGCAATGTAAGGCTACACGTGTAAAAAAGATCGAAATACGCGGATTTCGCGCGTTCTTGGTTTTTTCTTGTTTCTTTCTCTTCTCACGCTCTGTTTTCTGCTTCGCTCGTTCTCACTTCTCTTCGTCGTGGACGCCGGAATCGCAACTGTTGGCAACTGTCATCGAGCGTGACCGTTTACAATTCTTCGAGTCGTCCGCGCCACATTCAACGTCTCTTTCTCTTTCAATCGTTTTCTTCGTGTGTTCCTACGGTTTCTACTCGGATGACAATCCCTCTTTCAAACAATGTCACCAAAACGCTAGGGATGTGCGCGACCTGTACGCGAAATTCGAATCGGAACGAGTTCTTTCGACTTCATATAATCGATATATCAGTTTGTATATCTCGATTATTTTCGATGGTCAAAGCTTTTTCGAGCGATCGGAAACTAACAGTCGATTTGTCTGATATATCGATTGTTCAGAGGAGGAAGAGATTAAAGCCCCTTGCACAATGGACGGAATAGCGATAGCGATAGAAATAACAAAAGTTTTAAAGAGTTTATATTTAAAAATAAAAAGGTAGGAACACAGCGGAATCTAACATACAAAAATACACATGTATCAATGCGGATGAAAAAATCGAAATAAGCAATAGCGATAAAATTTCCGACGAGTTGGAATTCTGTGTTAAAAACTGTGTGTTATTTCTATCGCTATCGCTATTCCTTCCATTGTGCAAGGGGCTTTAGAACTGCGTTCGGGGAACACGCTATCAGCGCTATTGCGTCATTCTATCTTTGTTTTACATGTAATGAGCAACAAAGATAGAATGATGCAACAGCGAATGATAGCGCGCTCCCCGAACGCAGCCTAAAAGAGATTGTGTAAATTAAATTTCAAAAAAGTAGAATTATCTTGTCAATATACACACGTGTATCATTTATACTATTTGTATCTAATCTTTATTGTTTTTTTTATTTCATTTTTAGCATTGCATTTTTGAGGGATAATGTTAAAAAAAAAATATTTTATCGAGAAACACTGACGCAACATATATATATATATGCGCTAAAATATAAATTTTTCTAAACTAAATTGTTTATCCATTTCTTATGACACTATCGATTATTTTAGTGTCATGCAATCTCGAGTCTTCGATCGTATCGTTCGCTGTTCATAAAAAGCGTAACATTGCACTCGACGCGTCCAATCGAAACATTACCACGGCTATATATTAATAAGTAATCTCTAAGATCTTCCCACGTCATGCATTCATCTCTAGATTGTATCATTATCTCAGAGTCCTCAGATATATCTCAATGTTTGGAATATTTTTGCAAATTGGAAATAAACAATTTTTTTTGTTTTCTTATATATTATATATGTATATGGTTATTTATCACATATAAATATATGGTAAATATCATATGATAAATAACTATATTAAGTATCTCTTTTTGCTAATGTATAAAGACAATAATTTAAAAATAATTTTACAATAAAATTTTATTTATAAACTCAAAATTATTAATAATTAAAAAAAAAGAATATAGGACACTCGTTCAATAGAATTACAAATAATAGAAGTCAATTAAAAGGCGAGTAAAATTAAGGTGTTAAGTATATACATACAATTTTTTTAAAAGATATATTACATTAGAGTAATATATTATTTATATATGTATGTAAATATTATTTATGTATTTATGTATTTATACATTTATGTAAATATACAGTCGAACCTCGATAATTCGAATCTCAAGAGAAGAGCTAAAATCTTCGAGTTGTAGAGCTTTCGACTTATCGAAGTTCTTTTTTCCTTTTCGCGGAGCAGAAGAGAATAAACAAAACTTTCGTCTTATAGAGGTTTTCGAGTTATAAAGGTTATAAAGGTTCGAGTTATCGAGGTTTGACTGTGTGTATTTAACACCTTAATTTTGCTCGCAATTTTTGATCTGTATTATATTTATTTGTAATTTTAATAATCTAAGGTTTTCTTTCTAATTCGATGAGAATAGAAATGATTATTTTCTGAGAAGACACAACAAACAGTTCACTAATTAAATATATAAATGTTTAGTCAAATTATAATACAATATACGCAAGTGTAATTATTGTTTTTTATGGCAGCAACTTTCCGTTACAACAATCTAAAGATCGAAATGAAAAATTGAACGTGTCAAAACATCTGCAAACATCTATGATTATGTTGTTTTGATTGCTTCTTTCATCATATGTATCTTGTATCTTATCTGTGTGATAGTCAAATTGCAACCGTGTGACCGTCAATTATATATGTATACATATATATATATATATATATATATATATGCCAGAAGAATACCTTGACTTGAGTTACTGTTGAAGTAGATATCTACTAAGTAATTCTGTACAAGTTAGCAAGCTACCGCGCTCAAAACATGTCGTACGGTGCAGTGAATGAAAATATCCACGATTACGCGAAGAAGAAAAATGTAAGTAAAAAAGAAAAATCATATTTCTCATTTTTTTTTCTCTCTCTCTCTCTCTCTGTATTTTTATTCAAAACTTAAAATAAAAAGCAGTAAGTCATAAAAATAAAATTTAAGTTAAACAACAATGTAAATTATTGTTAAGCGAGACAGTTCGTGAAAATGTCAACATTAAGTAAAAAACCAATACGAGCCAATAATGTATACAGAATGTTGTATATTGTATAAAATTGTGGTTTTATTGAAAAAACAATTCAGACGTTTTCCGATTCGTTAATCGGATTTTCTTCAACGAATAACTGAATAAAATTAGAAAAATAAATAATTACAAAAAAAAATTATCAAACGGGACCATATCTAGCGAATTTAAGACAGATGAATCAGTAATTCGAAATTCAACTTGTGAATTTTTGCCAATTGAGATGTGAACTGTGCAAAAATCATTGTCAAAAATCATCAGTGAGCCACTTTGGCGAGCTGACAAATATTACATGCAGAATAATCAGCCTGCGTTTGACACTTGTTCTTTTGAAAGATAAAGCTTTTGTCAACAACAGCAATATGATATATATTCTCGCTATCTACGCATTGTGTGTCTCAAATAGTGTTTACCATAATTTGCACATTTTTTATTATGTTGCTCGTGGAAGTATTATAAAAACATCTTCCAATTACAGTTTTCCTGTTTAACATGTAACAATTAAATTTATACACACACACACACACACATACATACATATCCACCTACGCGCATACAAATAATTTTACAGAACTACTTAACTCAAGTATATGATTACTAGGCCATTATCGTCGATTTACGAAGCGACACGCTCACGAAACCAACTGCTGCAATGAGAAAGGCCATGTTTGAAGCAGAAGTTGGAGACGATGTTTTTGACGAAGATCCCACGGTGAAAAGTAAAAAATCAATGCGTTTCAAAATCCATGCATAACCAACACTGGAAAAACCTTTTTCGGCTTTACGTAGAGTTTACTAGAACATTTTATTTATATTTATTTATATTTTTACTTTGATTATGTTTTTCATTTATATTTAAAACGCGCGAGTTTTTTTCTACCTACTCTTTTCTTTATCTTTATTTATTTTTACTGTACTTACTGTTAGCAAGCTGATTCTTTTGTGTATTATTTTCCAGAATTACAAAAGAAGGCTGCGGAGTTGTTTGGAAAAGAAGATGCGCTTTTTGTTAGTTCTGGTACAATGGGGAATCTGATTTCCAGTAAGAGAATTTATAGAAAACGACTTTTCACACTCGCTCTTACAATCAATATTAAAGAATCGTATCTGTCGCTTCGATAAAAAAATATATAAAATTTATTTGTTTCTCTTTCTTTTAGTCATGAATCACTGCGACGTACGCGGTAGCGAAATCTACTGCGGAGAGAGTTCGCATATAATGCTTCACGAACAAACTGGTGCGGCGCAGATAGCGGGTGCGAGCATCTATCATCTGCCCAATAACGAAGACGGCACGTTCGACTTGAAGAAACTTGATAGCGCGATTCGCAAGGAACGATTACACGAGCCGATCTCAAAACTAATCACGGTCGAGAATCCAATTAATGGCAAGATCCTACCACAATCGTGGATCGAGGAATTGACGAAAGTGGCGAAGAAATATAATCTAAAGATGCATTTGGACGGAGCGCGAATATGGAACGCCTCCATTGCGTCCAATATCTCGGTCAAGGATCTAGCTGCGCCGTTCGACTCCGTTACTTTTTGTCTGAGCAAGGGACTAGGCGCTCCTGTGGGATCGGTGCTTTGCGGGAACAAGAGTTTCATCGATGAAGCGAGGAGGCGGCGCAAGGTATTAGGCGGCGCGATGCGACAAGTAGGCGTACTAGCCGCGGCTGGACTCGTCGCTCTGGAAGAAACGGTGCCGCGATTAATAGAGGATCATAGAAAAGCACTGGCGATCGCACGATCAATCGATCAATTAAAATCCAAAATATTTAACGTAAACCTGAAAAATGTGCAATCCAACATGATATTTGTAGATGTTGATTCCGAGAGCGGCATCTCCGCCGCGACTTTAATGAAAAGACTCCATCAAGTGAACGATTCTAACGAAGACGACAGATTCATAATCAGATGTATGGCTCTGACGGAAAGTTTGCTCAGAATGGTTATTTATTACGACATCGATGATAATATGGTAGATGGCGCAATAAAAAAAATAACATACGTCATTAAAGAATTGGATCCCAGTGTACAAATATGATAATTGTTTTCTCTAACACATATATTGATATTGTTTTCTATACACATATACATATGTATATATATATATATATAAATATACATATGTAGTATATGAATAAAATAATAAAATTCCAAATGCATAATCCAGTTTAATTTCCTCATTTTATTTCGTTTGTAAGAATACCTTTGTCTTTACAGATTCCTAATTTCAAGAAAAAATCGTAGTTACCAATTAACAAGCGTAATTAAGCGTTGCCGTTAACTCTGAAACGCATCATTAACCGGTTCATCGTCGTCCTCGTCTTCCTCGCCCTCACTCTCGAAAGTATTATCGGGAATGTCGTACAAACGAATCATAGGCTTGTTTGGATCCTTCATTATCAAGTATTTGCCGTCCTTCTGCTTCATACAAATGTCGATGATACATCTCAGAATACCCCACGCGTTGTCCATGTTCAGATTGATTTGTGTCGCGAACTCATTTGGCTTGTACTGCTGAGTGCCGAGAATTACGTGTTTGCTTGAGTCACGTACTATGGCGCGCGACACGTATCCGAATTTCAACTGATCCGAACCGGCCAGTAACGCCTGCACGGTCCATTTGGCGAGTTTGCACGCGTTGTTGCGCAATTCGTTAGCCAAAACCGCGCCACGTTGTGTGTCGAGTTTCTGACGCCATTCGACGCCGTTAGCTAGCTTTGAATCCCATTCGTTCAAAGCTTTGATCGTCAAAAACTGAATTTCGTTGTTGGGACCTTGCATCACGGCATCGTGTTCGCATCGAGCAACAAGCACGATGCCGTTGTTGAGATCCCATTTGCGATAACGATACGCCACGCTGGCCACATCGCTTTCCTCCTCTTCCGAGATAAACGGATTACCTTCTTCGAACTTGTAACGTGACTCGTTAGACTTGAGTACTTGTTGCGAGAAGTTGTGATTGATAAAAGTGGCCTCAAGCGCTAAATTTCTCGGTGAGTTCAGCGAGTTGCCATCGTCCTGAGGTGGTTCAACGCTCGTCTCGTTTACCGTCAGAAGATCGAACTCGGTGTTGTCGCGCTTGTCGAAGAACAATTTATCGCCGATTTTTTCGATAACGATATCCCATGAATAATTGCTACGCGTGCAGCACATGATGGTGGCCAAAATCGCGTCAGTGGCGTACACATTGCCCTCGGTCTTCGAGAGCTTGCGAATGATCGGATCGTCGGTGGTGGTAACCGTATGGAAGATACGATCGATTCGTTGCAGCGGCTTTTCGTTTTTAACGTTCACACGATCATACGTCTTATCGTAATACTCGAGCGAGCCGCAGCACATTATATCTTCGCCGTCTTTCACACCGGGTAGCGAGAGCTTTGCCAGCCGTGGGAAGTCCATCTCCTCAATTGTACTCCAATCGGGTCGCACCGTAACGGAAGCATCTCGAATCTTAATTGGTGGTTGATTCTTATGATTCCGCAGACCCTGCTGTCTACCCCAACGTTTTGCTTGTCCTTTACGTTCTCGTTCTCGCAATTTCAGCTTTCCTAATTGCTGCATCTGACTCAACCCGCCACGTTGACCACCACGACCGCGCAAATTGCGCTGGTTGTGACGGAAGCGACCGCGCTGATACGGCGGCTTCTGCACACGTGTGGTATCGACCAAGTGGAAAGTAGTCTCGTCTTCGTCATGGTAGTAAGCATATTGACTGCCAGTACCAAATTGTGATGTATACTTGTCTGTAAAAGCAAATACATGAATTTTTGGAATCGCAACAAATTATTACTTATTAATTATCTTGTAATAAAAAAATATTAAGCAATCACAATTAATCAACATATAATGAAGCAAGCACTCTATTGTTATAGATATTTAACTAGTAGTAATACTATCCAATTAAAGTAAGTGATACTATCTAATTAAAATAAGCATCTTATACACTTATTTTATAAAATTTCATTACATATATATAAATAAAACATAGAAAAAGATTAAATTTAAATTTAACACTATATTATATGTTGCATATCTGTTAAATATCTTGCTAGAAATTTCACAACCTTGCTTATAGAATTTATAAGTACATTAAAAAAATTTTACAGTAATAATCAATTATCACAATAATCATCACGTGGGGTACACAAATACAACATATGTTCGATACTTAAAAAATATCACAAGAATTCCAAAAACTCAGTTGAGGTTAAGCATACACGTATAAGAAGAGCATATTTACTTGGAAACTTCTTATCCTGGAAGGGTGGCGCAGTCCAGTCAGAGATCTACGACAAATAAAAGGAAATATAAGCATCGTTCTCAGCATCGAAATAGATGACGGTCGAAATAGATCGCGGTCATGTCACGCGAGCTGCTCACCTTGCCCAACCTGTCTCCCTTGGAAAATGGTTGATAAGGAATGTCCTTAAACTGATCCGGCAACTCGCACGGGCCCCAACCGTCCGGATTGTGCTGAATCGCGGGTGCGTGAAAGTGCGCTACTTCTGCCTCCTTTTGGACGTCACCGAGAACAACCACATCCACGACCTCCGTCATGTTAATATTCCGGCCGAATTACTTGGGCACACCAAAAACTTTCGGCCGTTTGTCGAAGAGGACGACCGCCGCACGACAGAGAGAGAGACCGTCACGCCTTCATTGTCACTATACCGGAAGTTCTACTCGCGACATCTTGCCGGCTCAATGTCCGCTGCAATATTGCTAGTTTTTTCCCTAAATAAAATCCATTTTAAAGCCCGTATTACACTACGGGTTGAGGAGATTAGATTATGATGATTGCAGATCGACCAATCAGATCGAAGGAGCTTGCTCGCTCGTTGGTTAATCTTTAATCGCTCGCAATTCGCGGTGTAATACGGGTTTAAAACATCGGACGAAGTTGAGATTCGAATATAACCAATCGGAACAATATTTAAACCAACCTCAAATTTAGTGAAGTTCGCTCCGATTGGATAAGTTTCAATCAATAAATTCGCGTACGCAGTTTGATACGGGCTTAAAAATATTGACTCGTTTCTACTGACACTTCGCAATAAATATTCACACGGTTGCGTATCGAGTAGATTTGACGTAGTTTATGCGTAAAAACTGGAGTTTTGAAAAGCGGAGTGTTAGATAAAAAAAAAAAGCAAGTATATTATAAGATTTGTCACATGTGACATATTAAAAGATGATAGAAAAACAATGTTATATTTTTGACAGAGTTTAAATTTATTTAATTGATTATGTGTATATATTTACTTACTCAGTTTTATATAAATGAACTTAACCAACAAATGTCATTGCATTTATTACGTAAGAGAGATTCAATGAACGATTAAAAATTGTTTTACAAATTTAATAAAAATTCTTGTGACTTTTTCAGGCAATCATGCTGAGGTCACGTGTTGCCAATCTGTCAAAATCTTTCAAACGCGACATCACTACTAACATCCCAGGTTTGCAGAAAGCGAGTGATCCCATACAACAACTCTTTCTCGACAAACTTCGCGAATACAAGTCAAAAAGCGTGTAAGTATCTCACATAAAAAAAAAAAAACTACAGATCATATAAATATTGTAATTTATATAAATTTGCATTTGTATTATATATTTTAAGAGGAGGGAAATTGGTTGATGCCAGTCCAGACCTTTTGAAGGAAAGAGAAGCTGAATTAGAAAAAATTGGTGCACAATATGGTATTAAAAAGGGAGAAGATCCAACAAAATTCCCTTCATTCACTTTTCAAGGTATGTAATTACTATTTGTTACATTTTATATATATATATATGTTACATGATGCATTATGTGTACATTCACAATGTGGTACAACATTTTATTACACAGCTGACACAAGTATAACATAAGTTGTACACTTCATGTTTTAGATCCACCTATAAGTCTGTGAATATATACATATATCAATATGTCCTATAAAACATAGAGCTACGTACAGATTGAACGAATGATTAAATATTGAGTTGTAACAACTTGTTATATAAAATATATATATATGTACTATATTATTATATTTACATTATTTGAATCTTTTTATCAACCTGAATTATTCAGAGCAAAGATAGGTGAGAAAATAAATGGTTGATGTGTGAAGAGAGAATTTATTGTTATTTATTTAACTAATAATGAGTTTTGCGTTATCCACTATCTCTGATAAGATATTCATTTTACATTTTTTGGCTACGGACTTGCATATGTTTACAAGTGTTGTGATTTCGTTTCGCGAGATCAAATTGGCATACTCGCCTGAACAGGGACACAATATGTTCATGTTGTCTCGCTTGATTTCTTTGCACTTTCGACACTGCTGATCTTGCAACACGTAACCCATGCTTTTGCGATTCAATTTGTCAATTAACGAGAATTCTATTTCTGTATTGTCGTAAGAGGTATCGCAGATAGGACATTTCCACAAGTGCGTATTATTTTCAATCGCACAGTGCTGATCTTTGCAAAGATCAATGTCTCTCGTGTGATTACACGCTTTGCATATGACTTCTGGCAAAATAAACGAAATACACGGATCCTTCCATTCGACATTATCGCTGAAATTGTTGACCCCGATCAGCCGTAACAGATTCGCCTTCAAATTATAAACCTCGTATTCCACTTCCTTGTCCAACGACAAAATCTTGCATAATGCTTTGATTAATTCAAGGGCAGGATTGATCTTTATACTTTCTTTTCCGCCCATATCCAAATTCGGATAGTCTACGAGAGTTAATGTCTTTTCCGGTAAATTTCGATGTATCTTTTGCACTATTTTGAATAATCTTTGAGACATTTCTCCCGATATCAATTTCTTCGCGTATTCTGCTGCATTTTCTAACGCGCCTAATCCAAGTGTGAACGAAGACTGACTGAGTCTTCGTCTCGGTCTCACAGTATTGTTAGCTTCATTCTCCATCATACATTGATACACCGCGTTTATGTATCCTGCTGTTATAGCGCTGAAACTTGATCGGCATCCCGCTTCGTCGGGTAAACACTCCATCAGGCTCCAATTCATTATTATTTCAGGCTCGTCGTCGTCATTTTCGGCGCTCTCCTGGTCTTCGGCATCCCTCGATATCTTCCCTTTGATACCAGCATAATTGTGCAAATCGTGCCATATCAGATATTCCCAACACTGATCGAATGTAATTTCGATGCCATGGAACAGCTCCTTATTTCGTATGGTCTGAACAACGAACTCTATGTAGCCTAAAGCATCGCCCACGGATCGCTTCTTCGTGCACACGATGATCTTGTTAAAGTTTGCAAAGACTATGATACAACCCAATACTTTGAATTCCGCTATCAATTGTATATACAACTTCTTCATGTAAGTGTGCAGAGTACGACGTAGAGCGGGATCGTAAAGCAGAGCACTCGGGGATCTTAGCCATCGATAGAAGTGAATCAGTTGATAATCCGCGAACACGTTTTTATACATGGACACATCGAGTATCCAGGCGTTTACCATACTGCGCAACGTTTTAAATGCCGGATTGCAGAGAGTGATCTCATCGTAACTGGGAATAATTGTCGCGTCGTTGCCAGTCGCCATATCCTGAACAGACGGACGTTGCTGATTGTGAAACGCCACAAACGTACTCGTCCCGTCTATGTCGTGAATATGATGATACTGCAGCAACGCGTTGACCGCCAGACTTTCCACATCCAACTGGACGCACACGCTGGAATATGAGCCCGAATTGTTCGCGGCGCAGCTCGAGCTCTCTTCAAAATCCGTCAGCAATCTGTTATCGTCGTTCTCGCTGCCGCCTAAATCGGGCTTCTCCGTGGGCGAGCACCACAGGACAAAGTTGTTTCTGTGCAAGTGTCTGGCGTAAAATAAATCCGTACCGAAAAGAGTAGGATCCGCGGGTATGTTTCCAATTGGTGCGTGAAAGAAACGACATTGTTCCGCCATTAATTCGACGATCTGCTGGCTCTTCAAGTAATGTCGTATCATCATCCTCGCGCCTATCTTTTGCCACTCTAACGTGCCGTACAGATTCTCGACGTCCCGCACGTGCGTGTTAATGAGAGGAAATTCATTGAGCAGTGGCATTTCGGTGGTCAGTGTCGTTTTGTCGATTGCGGTTTGATTAACGATAATCGTGGCTCCGTGACCTTCGTTTTTGTATGTCGTCAAAATAGACTGCAACATCCGACATATTTGTTGAAAGCTCGTTTCGACCTGCACCGTAAACTGCATGGTTTTTGGCAGTCTGTTTATTTTGTCCTCACCGCTCTTCTCCAACGTTGCTTTACGTTCTTGCGTGTATAATGTACTCATATTTGGCAATTGATTTGTTGTGACCGAATCCAAAACGAATACGTGAGTCTTCTTGCTGGCGCTTAAAAACAAGCCCCATAACGCTCTTTGATGATTTGAGCTCCAATGATGATAGAGGAATATATAGTTAATCGCCTCAGTTTGTTGGATATAAGGATGAAAGGCGATGCTTTTGTATTCCAACTGATCCAGAGTAAACGTGTCTGCTCCGTCTGCCATTCTGCGCGCTGCACGTGGATCGACTATACACACGCATCCTAATTGCAATATAGCTCGGAATTCCAGCGACATTTGCGTCTCGTAAATTCCTTCGATTTCTGGTTTACTCAAGTCTTCTAGAAGCTCCCGACTATGCTTCTGAAACAGAGATTCCGGCAGGGCATATCGATACAGATTGTATACCGGACGAGAACGTGGTAAGGATTTGAAGCTCTTCTTCCAGAGTTCATTAGGTCCTGGGTCCGGTCTCGCTTTACGAGTATTCACGTAAAATATGCGAGGTACTACGAGACGCACTTGATGTAGCTGCGTGTCGACCAATATCCATAACCGAAACATGCCAGGTTCGCCCGTTTCCGATAACTGGACAATCTGCCAAGGAGTTTCTAACAATTTCCTTTGAGCACGTCTCAAGAAACCAGTCATAGTAGACGTGTTCGCGTTTCGTATCACTCCCCAGCCGACGTTATCGTTGTCGCTTGTCTTGCTTCTTTTTTGTCGATGCTGATGTCTCTGTTTAGCCTGGAAGGCCCATTTCTTTTTATGAAACTCCAACCACTTGAGCATTTCTTCTCTCGTTTTCCCCATGGGCGGAGGTGAACCCAGAGCTTCCTTCCAACTTTTGGCTCGAACTGCCTCGTCTTCATCCGAATGCAACCGCTTCCTCTTGTTAACGATTGAAACCGATGAGTTCTTGAAACTAGTCGATGGTCCTGCGAGATCCTCGATGTCGCGAGGTTCCTCGGTGGTGTCAGTGCTTTCTTTAACGGACACAGTAAATATATCTGTGATCTTTTTCTGACGGTGTGACGCGCTTTTCTCCGTAACCTTCTTATGTAACCAAGGTGGATGCTGTACTCGCGGAACCGGATTAGGCAAGCCTTGCATCGCCGCGGGTATAGTGATTATTTTTTGAATGGCACTCCCGAGTCGTTCGATATAATAATTCCAGTCTAAGATATCTCTTATGTTATCGCTGTACAAAGTGGGATCTTTCAGCCATTTCTTCAGATGATGCCTTCGCACAGCCGGTTCTGATTGAAAAATCGCTAGCGGTATCGCACGCTCGGTGACCGGTGCGCTTTGCGGTTTGTTCGCTATGATATATCTACAAGCTAAACCCGCGTCTTTAACCATCTCGTCACCCAAGAATTCGGCTAATCTCTTAGCCGTAGAGATTGAGGTCGATTTTTGAGCACCGTATTCTTCCAATTTACGCGACATAGATTTATTCTCGGATATGAGTTCGAATAATTCGGAATCGGGCATGTTCTCGCACTTGCTGTAAAGCAAGTCCAGCCAATAATCGGCATCTTTCGCAACCGAAGCGTAACATTCCTCTAACGTGTCACCTTTTAAAAACGATTCAAAAACGGAAGCTTGAAAGATTTTTATCAATTGTAGTTCGCCCCTTCTTTTTACTTCAAAACCTTTTAATTCAGCCAGCGAACCGTCGAAGTTAAAAACTGCGTAACGTTTCTTTAATTTTTTTCCTTCTTCTTTGGCAGCGGGCAACACCATCGCCAGATACGGACCGTCGACTTCGAAAAATATAGAATTCTCGCTTCTGATCTCGTATGTTAAATTATCTCTGTCCGTAAGCTCGTGATATACTTCATTTGTAAATTGATCCTGTGTGAAAAATTAAATTGATCGATTAGAGAGGAAGAAACATATGCACACACACACACACACATGCTTCTTTTTTCGTACCTTCACCATAAAATTGAGAACTGCATTTGGATACGAAATCGTGAATTTGGATTTCTTTTCTTGAGTAGTGTGAACTATAATAGAATCCGGGAAAGATGCAGGTAATATGCACCATATACCGTCGGTATCCAATTCCAATGGACGACCAATCTGTTCTATGATTTCTCTAGCTTTCATGATGATATGAGCTCCTGTGTAACATACAATACCACCCATTTCCATACTATGCCATCGTGCCCTATAAATTTAAATATAATAACGTTTGTAAGAAAAATTTGAAAAACTCGAGTTTGAAAGAAAATTTTAACTTACCCCTTTCTCATAACATAACCATAAAAGGAATTGAGAATACACTTGTGAGCAAGTTGAAGAGAGTCATATAAAACTTCTCTATTCTTGGCAGATTTTATGTCAGCTGCATCCCCTTTCGCGATCGCTGTTGCTACTTGCTTTTTGGCAACCTTAGTTAACGCTTTGTATTCATATCTTCTGTCTCTAAATGCTCTCACAGTGTCTACATAAAATGAATTTTCTTTCTGACAAACTGTTTGCGTTCTCTCTTCCGTTCTAGTAATTTTGACTTTTTTATAAGCCTTTTTACAGTATTCAGTAAGCCTCTTTTTTTGAAACATCGCTTGTTCAGTTGCGCTTAATTCATGAAAAGCTCTTTTAGAACCACCAGGAAACTGCGATGGAAATCTTTCAGTTTCCAATTGCAACTTGACTCTTTGATATTCACCCAAACTTGCAGGAACTAAAATTATTTATATAGTTATATAAGTAAAAATTTAAAATTTAAATTACAAACGAGTCATTTAAAAAATGAGTAAAAAATAAAATGCACTTTAAATCTAAACTTACGATATTCGCCCCTCCACATCCATTTCATCTTCCTCTGACAAACAGCATCAGGTTTATTGTAATCGCAAACCGCGCAATCCATTTCATTCACTATCGCGGAAGGTTGCAGTCTGTTGGTCAAAATAATGTTCGGATACATGGCGCCTACATCCAAGTGATAAATTACAGGATTTTCTAATCTCAAAGGTTGATCTTTGAGAGCCTGCAACTTTCCCTTAACTTCATCCACTATTTTATCAAAATTTGTGACCATTTGAATAGGTACTTTTTCCTCTTCTTCTATCGTATGTTTCAAAGCTTTTTCTACACCGGTCATTAACTGATCTATAGCGCTTGGTACAATTTTAAAGCGACAAGGAATATCAGCTCTGAAAACGCCGGACTCCAGCGCTTCCACATGTCCACCCACATAAGTTTCTTGATCCAATAAATGACCATCTTTTGTCAATTTATTTAGTTCGCTTTCTTGTTTGTTAGGAAATATAATATTGGCTCTAAACGCCTGCACCATGAGAAGCGATTCACACAGCGTTCCAGATCCCTTTCTAAGAACCTATAAATAAGTCAGAGCGTACATATCTTCAGCAAATATCATGTTTTAACCAAAACATAAATTTTTCTTACCTCATCAGGTTCCATAGGAATAATGGTACATAACGCGAATATGAAAGGATGAATGTACTTTTGATAAAGATAAAATGTTGCCACAGCGTCAGAAACAGAATAATTCGCCAAAACTTCTGGTTCTTCTAATGCTAATCTGCACATATCCTCTGGATCAAGTTCGACTGGATCATATCTCAACTTAGCTTTGGCAACAGCTTTTAAATTCTGAGAGCCAACTGGGAGGTAAGAGTCACGCCTTACCCAACTTTAACCAGAAAATACTTTATAATGAAATATTCACGAAAATTATTAAATTCATTATATATTTAATGAAATAGTTTTTCTCACCATAAGCAATCCATATGCATAGCAGACCTGCTGACGTAAACACCATCACGATTCTTAGAAAAACCAATTCTTTCCTTCATGTTCATGTTGTGTACAGCTGCCCGAGCTTCAACAAATGGCCAGTCGAAAAAATCACCGTTATATGTTACAAATATATGAGGTTTTATTTCATTGATATGATCAAAAAATCTTTCTATCGTCGCCTTTTCATTAGGCTCATTGAATATAGTAAATGGGCCTTCAAATTCTGGTTTTGGTGTATATTCAAAATCTTCTATGTCCGCCGAGATTAATTCTCTGTTTGTTATTAAGTATCCCTAAGAGAAAAATATTCAATATAAAATAACTTTCTTTTAAAAGCAATCTGAGAGATACAAAAATCTTATATATACATTACCTGTCCATCTATCATGTATGATATCATCATAATTTGATCGATACTTGAATCTGGAAACTTCAATGGTAATTTTGTAGTTTCAATATCATATGCTAACACAATAGGGTCAGGTGGTTCGATCATCCCTTCTTTTCGAGTAATCATAGGCGGTTCACTTCCTCTGGACTTTACAGAATACCAAGTTCCGCAAAATATATTAGCATCTATAGATACTCGGACATGATGAGGCACGTCATGTTCCCTACAAAAAAAAAAAAAAAAAAAAACAATCGCATTTTATTACATAAAAATTGAAAAACAACGTAAAGTATAAATAAAACTTAAACCAAATAAAAATATATATATATAATTACCTAATATCAAGAATATTATCCATATGACCTAAACTTTGTTTATTATCTTGTTCAGTTGATTGCAAGGTAGTTGCTAACATGTTTGTATAGTGAGAATTGTTTTTCTCTCGTTCTTTATTTACTTTAACGACACGCATAATATCTCGCTTGACTTTTGTTAAATCAACAGTATTTGCAAAAGAAAGTTTCAAGTATTGTTGTTTTAAACCAATCAAATGATTAGGCTAAAATTATTTAAAGCAAGAAATAAAATCTGTTGTTTTGTTTTGTAATAATCAACAAAAAATCTAATTTAAAAGTTATTGCTTAATATATGCTAGTATCTAATTTCATATATGTATTGTCTTACCAAGTCAAGATCTTCTTTGTAAACAGTTTCAATTTTCATCAGAATTCCTACATACTTCTTAGATAAAAACGTGGAAACTTCCACAAGAGTGTCTTTGCGGCATAAAATGTAAAAATATGGAAAATATGGTAAGGATACTTTAAATCGTGTGGCATCTTCCTCTATGAAGTAGTAATCCACACCACTCAACAGACGCTTATCATCTTCTACAATTTCAGTCTGTGTACAAACAAAATTATAAAAATTAATATTATAACTAATTTATAACAGATTTGTGTTGCAATTTTCTTTTTTTTTTTAATCTTCTTACTGCGTGCATATTCAGTAAAAATCCTATTCTTTCTTTTGAGTCTGCAACTCTACGAAATCCATAAGCAGCATCAATTCTAATATTTTCTTTAATTTCAAGTAACCTTCCTAATGCATTTTCTCTGAAAAATAAAAATAAAGTAGAGTGAATAAACTTAAAAAGGAGAACGGGACACTATGTAAATATGTTAACTTTATTATACCCTGAAATATTGCCTTCTTGATTTGGATTTTTGTTTGTCTTCTGTGGGCGAAAAGCTCCTGTATTTTCTAAAGTCTCCATTTCAAACACAAACCCAGAAATGTTTTTTCATACATATATATATATATACTCTAAAATAAATAAATATATTAATATTTCCAAAAGAACACTGCACACATCAACAAAATCTGACAAGTGGAAAATGTCTCACGTTTAAAGCACATTTGTGCAGATTTGTCATATGTTCATATTCGTTGTGCGCAGTCGCAGCCCGCGCTTTTTAGAAATGCGTCCCGTTTCTATGATCACAAGACTGCGTTCCGAAATCATAGATTTTTAGTACTGGCATGGAATATCGAAACGCAGCCAATCAGCGATAAGAAGATAGCACTGACTTCGTCTAATTCCGTGAGTGCTCGGAAATGTTCGGTATACGCGCGCATTTATCCACGACCCTTTGTACTGCGATACAAAGAGAAAGAGATAAATACGCGGACAAACAACTTTGAAAAGTAACAGAACAATCGCCGCGGATAATCCCGAGAAAGCAGTTCGCAGATTGATTTTCGCGACGCGAGTTTGCGAATAATTATGGCGTTCGTCTTACTTCTCTTGAACGTGGTCGTGCTGTGCGCTAACCGAGAATCGTTTGTTTCGGCAATACCGACGGACATTTCGACTCAACAGACAACGATTCCCCCAAACAGGGACGCGCAGCCGTCGACAACGACGGGCAACAACAACGACAACGATCAAAAATCCTGCCCATGCCCGACAATAGTCGGTAACGTGGCGATTCTCAATGAACAAACGCATATGTTTCAGCAACTGTTTAACACCCAGAGCGTACTGATGCCTGGCATGATGTACACGTGCTTTATGTCGCATATGCAAAGCGGCCACCGGGATGACTATCGTTACACAGCGGGTATCGGCGCGCACAAGTTGCACACAAGACCCGCCACATGGAACGAAGCCAGGAAGACGTGTATCGAGGAAGGCGGTCATCTCGCCATCATCAACAGCCTCGCCGAAGAGCGCGTACTCCTGGATATATTTAATCAAACAGAATTTATTAAGGATTCGGTATATCCGTACACAAACGAAGCTCTGTTGGGTGTGCACGATCTTTATAAGGAAGGCGAGTGGGTCACGATATTGGGAGATTCGCTAGCAAAAGCTGGTTATAACAAATGGAGCAATAAATGGGGCGGACAACCCGATAACGGAGAAGGCAAACAACACTGTGGCGCTCTGGTAAAAGACGGTGGCATGGACGATGTCGCGTGCGAAGTTTCATTTCCGTTCTTTTGCGAGCTACCACGGTTGAAGCTGCAGTGAGAAAAATTAACTCGGCACACTTAACAATGCCAACACTTGTTTGTAAGGTATAAATAAATATTTTTTATCCAATTAAAGAAAAGGTTCGTATAGAATCAAGTTCAAAGTATGTATAACGAACTATCGTCATTTTAACTATGTTTTTTACATTTAATGAGCGATAAAGATAGAACGATAGCGCAATAGCGCAGATAGTGCGCTCTCCGAAAGCAGTGTGAACGCGTAAATTTCAACTTTCAGTTTTGATAAAAAATAATTATTATTAACTAACGGATAGCGGTGAATTATGTTTTTTTATACCATTTTAAGTCACCATTCGTAATATGAATACGTGACTATGCAATATAAAAAACTTATCTATGTTTTTTATGTCAATATACCACGGAGATTACAGTCCACGGAGATTACGTTCTTTGAGAATTACCCATATCAATTTTTATGGGAATGGAGAATTTGCTCTAGTAATGGATTATGGTCGCGAGAGGAAAAAGACTGACTACACCCTTTCGTTTCGATTTCGTTTCACATTTTCAACTGATGTATTGCATTTCATTAACACAAATTATACGTTGATCCTTGTTGAATCCTAGTACTGCAGTCTTGCTTGCTATTGATTTTCTGTCAATGAAAGAAATAAATAAAAAAAAAAGAACAGATAAATTGTATTTATGGTCCAATAACACAGAGCTTTTAAAATGTCTTGAGAGACATTGATTTATGATTGAAAATAATGTTACAAATCTTGAATTGGCCATTAAAAAAACTTACTATAAAATTATAATTTAAAAACTTTGGATTTTTATAGTTATTACATGTAAAATTAACACACGAAATATGTTAAATAATAGTATTTTATATTCATTTTAATATTTTTTCTTTAGTTTAGTATGAAAAAAATATTAAAATGAATAATATTCTTTAACATTTTTTTATTTTTTGTTCGTAAAATCTTTGTCATTTTGGTGCCCGCCATATTACTAGAATCCTACCTATTATTTCTTAAAATATAAAAGATCAAAAATATACGTATAATTACGAAAAATGTTAATTGTGTACCAACTTGAGCAAAATTCTTCGGAAACACATATTCTCATTTTTAATTGCGTGTGCGTAATCCGAATAAGAAGTCAATTCTATCATACAGTATGATAAATCATTTTACACGGAATAGCGTATATTTTTATATTAGGTTTCACATCAACAAGCTTTTTATTAAGAGATTATTTTGTTTCGCGACGAAGTTTTCCGCAAAGTCTGGAAAATAAAATTTTATAATTTTAAAGAAAATATTTAACTACACTGGATTTTTTAAATAAAAAAGAGAAACCGAATGGATGGAAACTCGTTTATTTCACGTATCTTTCCTAACAGAGAAAACCCTCTCGCTCTACAGCCACTGGTTACCAGCGAGTATCCCGTCGCAACGCTATTCCCACTTTCCTCGCTTTTCTTTCTCTATGCGCGCATTAAAATTCTCTTCTCAATTTTGAAGCCAGTGTACTTTAGATTATAAATGTATACTTCTGTATTTTATACTTAATATATTTCTGTTCTCAAATATATTGCTGAATAGTTACTTTCTTTTGATTCTTCTGATAAGATATATGATACATTCTAATATGTAAAAATTTATAGCGTTTTTTTTATAATTAAATAATAAAAATCTTCATTTCTCTGAACATCTCTATTACTTTTTTCTTATTTCCTATAAACATAAGCTATAAATTTTATATAAGTTATGGTGTTCCGTAATACAATTATTTGTGAGCAAGTGTAGAGAAGATTGTACTAAGTCGAAAAATTCTTTACCACTTTGCAAGATTCGCAATAATTAACAAATTCTGAGTTAATGAAGATCCGCGAATGAGTGTGCATTCACGTGCAAAAGGACAGCACAGAGCTTAGGGCGGCGTTTCATTGAGCGAAAATCCATAGCGAATTGCGCGAACCGGTTCGATCAATCATAGCCATTCCGTTTTTTTTCCTTCGCTTTTTCTGTGACTACGATTGGTCGCGCTGGTTCCGCGCATTACGTTTTGCTATGGATTTCCGCTCAATGGGATGCCGCCCGTATAGTTGTTACACGCGCGGCAACTGTATACTACATGTTGCGTTCAAAAATTCGCTTCTAGTACGGAACATATCTATAACATGAGTTATGTGAACTATAGATTTTCAAGAAGTGACGTTAATAAACGGAACGCAGCTATGTGTACTTTTTTGCACGAGTTAAAGGGCCAAGTTTACAATCTATAGGTTTAGTATCTACCCGAGTGTCAATGATACGTATGTAGTAACGATAGATGATGTTTGTTGATTTAAGTCGTCAAATAATAGCTAAGAGATGGAAGAGAGGATGTGGAATTGTACATTTTTAAAAGTGTTTGCACTGCTGCGACTGAAATAAATACGGGGGTTTGTAATCTCGTGTGTTCGTTATCGGATTTGAAGTGTTCTCGTCAAAACTTTACAACACAGTTGATTTCTCTTATGTAGTTAAAATACATCGAGAGGTTAGAATTGGAAAGATTCGTCCGGTCGCTCAAGTTTGAAGTTTTACAACAGCTGTAAAAAAAAAAAAAAAAAAAAAAAAAAACATTAAAAAAAAAAAAAAAAAAAAAAAAAAAAAAAAAACATTAAGCTGAAAAATTACCGAAGAAGAAACATTCGTAACAATGAGGACTAGACCTGTGAGAACCATGGCCATTCTCGGAGTAGGCCTGATCCTTGCCTGCTGTGTAATGATCTATCTGATGATGGATTTAACTCTCTTTCCACCTGGACAGGGTGCTAAGCTTTCTATGAATGATGTAAGTTACTTTTTATAAATATACAGAGTGTAGTAAAAATTTACATTTGCTACAAATGTTATTTGTTTCTTTCAGAATCAATGGCTTCATTTTGAGAACAGACTCACAAAATTAGAGAAAGACTTCGATAAACATCATAAAGTAATGAATGCCTTGCAGGAACAAGCAGCAAAAATTAAACATAATTTTGTGTCAGTTATGCAAACAGCCAATCATATAAATAATTCCGATTCTACAATTTCGCATTCAGGAAAGAGTCTCACGTGTAATTTCAACATTCAAAAAGTTCCAGAGGTTGACATACAAATGTTGGAACTGTATAAACAATTGGAATTTGATAATCCAGACGGCGGAGTTTGGAAGCAAGGCTGGGACATTGGGTACGATGAAAAGCAATGGCATCCTAACAGAAAATTAAAAGTTTTTGTTGTACCTCATTCCCACAATGACCCTGGTTGGTTAAATACTTTTGAGAAATACTATACTTTTCAAACTAGAAGTATATTAAACAATATGGTAACCAAGTTGAGCGAGGACAGAAGACGCAAGTTCATTTGGGCGGAAATATCATTTTTTAAACTCTGGTGGGACGATCAATCGAAAATAATAAAGGATGAAGTACGTCGCCTCATACACGACGGACAATTAGAGATTGTTACAGGAGGCTGGGTAATGCCGGATGAATCTGTGTCTCATTGGTTTGCTCAACTGACGCAATTGACGGAGGGTCATCAATGGTTAAAATACAATTTGGATTATACATCGAATTCGGGATGGGCCATTGATCCGTTTGGGCTTTCTCCTACCATGCCGTATCTTTTAAAGAATTCAGGGTTGGAAAATCTCTTGATACAGAGAGTTCATTATTCGGTCAAGAAGAAATTGGCTAAGGATAAAAATCTGGAATTTCGTTGGCGACAATTGTGGGACAATGACGGCACTACAGAATTATTTACTCATGTTATGCCGTTTTACAGTTACGATGTTCCTCACACATGTGGGCCGGATCCGAAGGTGTGCTGCCAATTTGATTTCTATAGAATGCAGAATTTTGGTCTGAGTTGTCCGTGGAAAGTCCCGCCGAAGACCATAACGAAAGCGAATGTAGGCGAAAGAGCGATGCTCTTGTTGGATCAATATCGCAAGAAAGCGCAGCTGTTCAAAACCAATGTGGTACTTGCACCTTTAGGCGATGACTTTAGATATGCACATCTCACCGAATGGGAAGCGCAGTATAATAACTATCAAAAGCTTTTCGACTACATGAATGGAAACAAACGTTTAAACGTCGAGATACAATTTGGAACTTTGAGCGATTACTTCGACGCGGTCAGAGAAAAACGCAATTTAAATGAATTTCCGACTTTGTCTGGTGATTTCTTTACTTATTCCGACAGAGATGATCATTATTGGAGCGGATACTATACCTCCAGGTACTAGCTTATTAGTATTTCTTAAATTCTTATGAGTCTGTGTACGTATATATAAGTAATATCTAACGTAATATATGTTTAAATCTGTATCTAGACCTTTTCACAAACGATTGGATCGTGTATTACTGGGTTCTCTGAGAGGATCGGAAGCATTAGCTGCTATAGGTTGGGCTAAAGGCAACGATGAATTGGTGGAAGGAAATCTCGCATCCCGTCTGAGCAAAGCCAGAATGTGGCACTCGTTGTTTCAACATCACGACGGAGTTACTGGGACTTCCAGAGATAATGTTGTCATAGATTACGCTCAGAAAATGATAGCGGCGTTGAATAATTCCGCTCATGTACTTCAACAGTCTGTAGCACACTTGTTAAGAACACGTCAAACATCGCCCATAGATGTAGAAGCTGTATATTTCTCACTGGACGAGACAAGGTATAATTCGATGTCACAGCTTAGCGCTAAAAGTACTAACATCGAGAATTTGACAAAAAAAAAATTAAAGCCAGTGGCACACGATGCTTTTTTGCTTACTGAATTGCTTGTACGAGTCATATTTATATGTGGTGAACATGATAATTGCAAAAAGCATTGTGTGCCGCTGGATTAAATTTTAATATTTTCCATATTAGTTTTTTTTTAGCACTAAGGCGGACTATGTAATATATATAAATTTTATTTTTCAAAAGATCGCATCACACGAGCGCAGGCGAGAAGCATGTTCTCAGTCTCGGAGATGATAATCCCTCAAAATCAATTATCTTTTACAATTCTCTCCCGAGACAAAGAACAAAGGTACAAACTCTGATTGTATCGACGCCATTTGTCAGAGTTACGGATCGTAAAGGTCAAAGTGTCAAGTGTCAAATCTCTCCCGTCTGGGTTGGCGCAGCCGCGTTATCCGCAGCTAGATACGAACTATCGTTTTTAGTTACTGTGCCAGGACTTGGTATTACAACATACATAGTTCACGCATTGCACAAAGCGACGTATACCAAGTAAGGAAACAATAACACATAACACATTTACTAACATAAGGAACGGATTTTTAACAGTTAATCCAAATTGAATATATTAATTCTGACAAATCTAACTTTGACCCTTAAGATGTTTGACTTGTGATAGTGCCATACCTTTAATAATTTGACATTATTTTGCATTAAATTATGTAGTTTATAAAATTGAATTAATATAAATTCTGTATTGTCTATTATTTAGTCACGAAGTGATTGTTGATTTAAATGTACATCATCAATTGAGAAATGACTTAAAATCGAAACGTATTGATATATCAAGATTTAATATATTACTTTCATTACAGCTTGGGTTGGTTCAACTTTACTGAATTTATACATTCAATTTGGATCAACACATTTTTTTATACACGTATGAAAGACAATAAACAATTTTTCAACAATTTTTTTACAAGACGGTTTTTGGATATCAACTGTTTGCTCGCGCGTTTTCAATCATCTTTCAAAATAATCACGGTGTTTAACACATATAGTATCAAAGAATAAAAAAACAAGTCAGATAATTTGTTTTTTTTCTTTCAACAGGGACGTTTATCCAGCCAATATCACTGTTTTTAACACTGATATCAGCATTCCATCAGTACCTGGTTTCGATCACTTGACGATTTTGCCGCATACGCAGGAATTTTCCATTGTTCAACGGCCGGAATTAGCCGCCTCTTTCGGAAAATCTGGTCTGCTGAAAGCCTTGCGAATCGGAAACACCACGGTTCCCGTGCATCTGGAATTCGTAAAATACGGAACTAGAGGTTCCGGTAAAGACAAAAGTGGCGCTTATTTGTTCCTGCCCGACAAACCGGAACCGGATCTAGTATTTATGGACGGCAGAGCAATTGTTCATCTAACAGTCGGGCCCATTTTGTCAAGAGTGTTTATAGAATTGGCGTACGTGCGGCATACCTGCACGTTGTTCAACTCACCCGGGAGCGACGGACTCGGATTGCACATATTCAACGAAGTCGACATAACGGAAACGCAAAACTATGAACTCGCGATGCGTCTCAACACGGATATCATATCCGGCGATCAATTTTTCACGGATTTAAATGGGCTTAACGTGAGTAACATTTTATCTCATAATTACGTTACATGAAGTTACCACTAACGCTTGTGTAATTTATTAAATTAAATAATATATGCATTTTTCGCGCTTATAAAATTCAGATGATTCGACGACAAAGATTCCCCAAACTTCCCACTCAAGGTAACTACTATCCAATGGCAGAGAGCGCGTATATAGAGGATAAAAAATTTAGATTAACAGTAGTCACGGCGCAGCCATTAGGAGTAGCCTCTATGGCATCCGGACAACTTGAGGTAAATCAAGACTCTATAGGTAAAAGCTTAGAAAAATTTAGCGCTTGTTATAAAAACAAATACAAAATTTATATGTTAATATAACACAATTTATATTACAAATTACACATTGAATAATACATGTTTTCTTTTCTGCAAACTTCGAAAATGTGTGTTTAAACATATTCGCTTAATCTGTTTTTGTAATAGATTATGCAAGATAGAAGATTGCTTCAAGATGACAACCGAGGATTAGGACAAGGCGTAATGGACAATCTGCTGACGAATCACGTATTTACAGTGATTCTGGAAAAGAGGGAAACAAATTGTGCGACACCACCCGCAAATCATCCCGCAGGACTATTATCCTTGAGTGGTCATTTAGCGTCAGAAGAATTGCTACACCCGGTGGTAGCGCTGCACCATCACAGTTCTCTGCCGTTCGATCTTCGCGCACATTTCGCGCCTCTTCGATACGATCTTCCAGTAGACTTAAACGTCGTTAGTCTCCGAGTGTTTCCCATTCCCGAGGGAGCTGGCAAAGGTATCGGTATGGTGCTACATCAATCGGCATTAGACACTTGCTTCAACAATTCTCTCCTACGACGGTTCAATGTTTCGGAATCAGGAGAGATCGATTTGACGAAATTCTTTAATGATATGGAAGACTGGACCATAAGCAAAGCGCCCCTTACGTTCCACAATGTTGGACCGTCTCTTAAGTCGCCTGTTATAAACTTGTGCCCGCATCAAATATTGTCGATCTTGTTTCACAAAACGCAATCTTAAACGGGAAAAAGAGTGTTCAATGCGTGTTGTAAGAGTATTCAACGTGTGTTGTTCTCTCTCTTTTTTTTTTTTCTTATTCGCGTAAATTGTGTTTACTCAAGATCATGTAATCCAAGTGCGCTGAGACTGGTGGACTTGAATTGTCCAATTTATATCTGAAACAATATTATAAGTACACACAAAATTATTATACTGGCTCAATTATGTTATGTATGCGCGTGCGTGTGTGTGTGTTTGTGTGACTATATATTGTAATAAATAGCAAACTGCAGTCAACACGTAACAAATCGTTTTAGAATTACATATAATTTATTGTCGTAAGCAGAAAAGAGTAGAATTTCTTTTCTATGAGTTTCAAAATAAATCAAAAACTCGTGTGATCTACTCGCATTATGTACTTACTCCGACATTTTAATACAATTCGATAATTTGATGTTTAGTACATCAATTTTAGTTGTTTTGTCTACTCAAAATCTCGTAAACAAAACTTTCAAATCAAAATTTTTCCATGTATATTCATACAAATACGACTGTATATATACAAATTTTCCCTACATTTGGATTTTTTGAATTTACATTTAAGTGGATTAATTACATAATTGATCACACACAATGGAGTTGTATTTAAAATCATTTTCTCTTTTATAAGTCATACAAGAACATTACTCTTGATATTTTTTTTTTTTTTTTTTATGACTTACTGTTAAAAATAGACACAAATACACACACTTGTAATATTGAATCACAGATCCAATCACTATCAAGTATATATAATAACAATTATACGTAAAAACCACAAAAAAATAATTATAAGTAAACGTTATATATACGGTGTATTTTAAAACAATGATAAAACAAGCAATTTTGGCAATATTGTTTTGATATACTCTGTATTATAAGAAATTCTTCTCTATTTTATGTATGAGCATTTAATTGTCAAAACTGCTATGCCAAAAAGAAGAGATATTAAGTATGAATGTATGTTGCAAACAAATACAATGATAAAAATATACGAAGGAACATATATTGTACACTTTGTACTATATGATTCTTCAAATATTTAAATATGATGGAAAAGATTTACAGTGATTATAAGAAACAAATTGAAGACATTTAGTGTTATTGAACTGAGTGAGAAGATCAACATGATAGAACTTTCTTTATCAAAGTGAACACTTTGGTACTAGTCAATTATATGGATTGTGTGTGAGATGAGCTCTTAGGTTACATAGAACTATTTTATACACTTGTATTATATATAAAAATGTATATACACTGCTCTAAAAAAAACATTACTCTTAGAATGTACATATGCAAATGGCTTTAAAAACTTCACGCTATGTGTACAAGAGAGCAATGAGTTGATTCTGCGGGAAGAGAAGAGTTTTTTCTCTGTGAACAGTTTTTGTCAACTGCTACTGAAAACTAAAGTAAAACAGCAGAAGAGAAAAGCTTCTTCCCTTCTTGCAAAAACTGATTTATTACTTTCTTATGTACGCTCAAGTACAATGTTTTTGTGCATTTACATTGCACAAAAAGTTTTCTTTTATAAATGTTTATAAACTTAAAGGTGAAGAGAGAATTAACGTGAATCGAAATATCTTTATCTGTAAGTGCATAAGACACCATGATGTACTTGATTGTACTAGTTAGAACAGATAAACATTTGTGCTGATAAATATTTATATCAATATTAGTAAATGTTCAATTACCCGAGAGTGTAAAAGAATTGTATGGCTGATGGATTGTGTTTAAAAACAGTTAGAACAACTTTCATCATCTTGTTTTGCTTTGCCATTGATTCCAGGGCTGACATCATAAAACAACCAAGCCCCTTGCGTCTGAATGCCAATTCCAATTGTAATTCGTAGCTACATATATATATATATATAAATGTTTCTTCAATTTTTACATTACTGTATTTTATTTTATACACACATGTGTGTGTGTGTGTGTGTGTGTGTGTTTCAGATATATGTACATACCAATATAATACTATATCACCATGATCGACATCAAACCGAAAATGTGAAAAACCCACAAAAGTGTCATTACATGATGCTATTAAATACCAAGCTGTGTCTTCTGTTAGTTCCTCCTGTTTCTCAGCTGCGTTCCAGCCCCAACTAGATTGTTCGTACATGCTCTTCATATTTCTCTCCATAATGTCAAATATCCAAGAGACACATTCCGGTTGTGCATCCTTTGCCCTGATACACGAAAGTTTTATCACACAATTATCTTTTGTGACATACTCATGGAACTTGTGCAGAGTCTCTAAAGGATTCACCAAAGTATTCGCTTTGTTGATCAGTTGCTGTTGCGTCGTTGCTTTTTCCGCCAAAAGCTGACGCCTTGTCTTCCTTGCTTTTCTCTGCAAAAGAACAGAGACAAAATTAATAAAACTCTCCTCGATCATTCATATAAATTATCTAGAATATCGTTAATCAATGAACCGACCTGCATGACCAATTCGAAGTCTAAATTCCCGCTTTTATCGCTTAAACCGTCGTAGCTAAGTAGGTAGGGTTACAGAACGCCCGGAACGTATTTCGCTGAAACTCGGATACCTTTTCGCGCACAACACTTTATTAAATTGTCATCAAATCGACAGAATAACAAACATTATCACCTTATATTTTTCACGTCAAGTTTATTTTTTGTAACTTGCCATCGAAACGTGCTTACCTCTGTTTTTGTCTTCTTTTACGGCTGTAAAACAGTCAGAAATGAGTTCGCGCTGCGTTCGAGGAGCGCGCTATTACATCTGCACCATTACATCATTCTATCTTTATCGCTCATTAGATGCAAACGAAGATAGAATGACGCACGGCGTTGATAGCGCGCTCTTCGAACGCAGCCTAAAAGCAGTTCACGCCGGTCTTGAATAGTAGTGGCCTCTGGTAATCGATCATATATATATATATATATACATATATACAGTCGAACTGCGATAACTCGAATCTCAAGGGAAGAGCTAAAGGCTGCGTTCCGAGTTACGCGTATGCGCGCATTTATCTATAGTACACGTCACATATAGTATAGATAAATGAGCGCATATGCGCAACTCGGAACGCAGCCAAAAACCTTCAAACTGTAGAGGTTTCGACTTATCGAAGTCCTTTTTTCCTTTTCGCAGAGCGGAAGAGAATGAACAAAATTTTCGTCTTATAGAGCTTTTCGAATTATAGAGATTTGACTGTATAAACTTCACCCCGCTTATTCCTTTTGATTATGAAAACCTGGACTGGATCAATTACGCTTCAAACGTTGTGAATTACACAGAAAATTAATATTAAATTTAATTTGATACACAGAAACAAAATATTAAAGATAATAAAAAGAGTAATGACAATCGCCTGAGTTTTCAGACAAGTGTGTTGTATCTTTATTTGTTGTCCATGTTTGTTCGCATTGTAATAGTTGCATCATTATTACAAATTAACAATCACCTCAATCGCGAGTTCTCACTACATTAAATAGTACAGTATCTCATTACAGTGTACGATTATTGAGTTAATATGAGATTTCTTTATGTATATATATATAATTTATATATATATATATAATCTGTGATTATACATATATGTCCATTTGACATTTAATACCGACAGAGATTTCGGCCACTAGTAAAAAGAGATATTTTAATCGAATCTACTTTCCCCGCGTTTTTTCTCGTTCAATCGCCTTCCGTTCGTAAAAAGCGAATAGTATTAAATATCAAATGGATATTCTCTGGAAGTATTTATCCACTTATTCACGCTGTATACAGAGTATTTTTTTTAAATGCTTAAAATAAATAAAAACATATATAAACTATGTATAATGCTCGCTATACACACTATCCGCGCCGGTACACATTACGATACATATTATTAAAAAAAAAAAAAAAAAAAAACCACTTAACTACGTGAGGAATGAAAAGATGAATGTAATTTGGCAGTAATAGATATTTTTTTGTTGTCGTGATGTCTTTATAGATCTGATTGATGCACATACACACACCTCTCGATCGCGCGCACAAAGTAGGCAGTGTATAGCAGTAGCGATGAGTACACATTCGCGCAACAACGTGTGACATAAATAAAAAAAGTAAACGTATGAAGATGTAATACGCGCAAAACAATGAGTCTAACACGATGCGATGTAACATAATACTTGACAACGTCTCTTTTGATCTAGAAAGACTTTTTTTTTTTTTTTTTTTTTCTGGAACTCGCCAAGATGCGATAAATGTAGCTTGTGCAAGCAATGACGGACCGTAAACACGTCATCTTCGCAAAAGGAGCGATATATACGTTTATTTAACATTTATCGACATTTAAGAGAGATGCCGTAATGGTATATAACTATTATTAGTACACGTACGATCACCGGTTCGTGATCGAGAATGTTCTTGATGGCGGACAACCACCTTTGGAAAAGCCGCCGTCCCGATGCGGTGGCGAGGACACACGAAGTTGAAAGACAAATAAAGTCGGAGATCACGCTTTTTTGTATTAAAAACAAAAACTATGAGAAAAAAGAAGTAACACTCGTGACACAATACCTTTAATACGCAGTTACAAGAGATTTCACGTATCGAATTACACAAGCTCGATATTAAATTATGTATGACTTTCGTGGAATCGCGCAGATCCCATTGTACATTCAATTATATGNACTAAGCGGTAGCGCGATAATAACGATGAGAAAGTCGTTTAAAGCTGTCGTCAAGCAGAAAAAATAGAGACCTATAAGACACAAGTTGTACTGGAATATTGTCGTTGTATCGATATGGATCATATGAGACAATTCTCTAATCAAAAAATCGGCTTTTGTATGTATATAAATATTAATACATTATAAAAATCTTACTACGCTGTATTGTTCCGAATATTACGCTAATGTATAATGTGTGTGTGTATATTATATATATTATATATATTATGTAATATATATAATACATAAATATATATATATATTTATATATTATTATATTTAACGTCATTAAACCTACATAAAAGTATTCCTGATTGGTTCTCAAGTACGCGATGTTTCGATATGCGTTTCTCCCTTCCTTTTCTCTCATTTTCTCTCTAATTATAAATACAATAAATCATATATTGATTTAATATGGAGCCTGCGTGTTTTTATTGTAAAATTTCAAAAAGAGCTGACGGCTATACAAATAGATTGGCACTGGTGCTTTTATTATTTACTAAAACTTGGGTCACTGAACTTTTTGAATCAGTCGGACATTAAAGTTTCTTTCAGATGTGTGTGATTACAAAACAGAAATTAACAGAATACAAAAGATGTGTACAAATCTGTTTATGTACAAATTTCAAAAATGATTTACATAATTAGTAAAAAAAATGTAGAATTTTTACTCTGTGAACGTATAAAAAATATAATCGGACAATATATAAACGATAGTTGGTTTTAAATTCTAGAGTATTTTCTGCGAAAACAGCAGTGACCCTGTGTTTAGGAAATGTTAACGCATCACTGCCGAGATCTTTGTTCAATTGAAACGTAACTGTGATCTCGATACGTTCACGCACTTAACTCACAATTTATGCATAAAAATATAGACGAAAAATGGAAAGATGCTGATTTTTGTTAAATCCTTATTGCATCTCGCGAATCAATGACATCAATGTGACGGTAATTACGGACTTACGCGAGAATTGCTGCCAATCTTAGTAGATTTTAGGCGCTGACCGATCGTTGATCGGACCGCTAGTTTTTCTCAACGAAGTGCCTCGTCTAATCTGATCCATAAGAGAATCCCTTACTTGCAAAGGATCCATGATAGGTACACGATTGCCCATAATGCGTCGTACACTCGCGGATCTGCTGGTGTTATTTCCTGCTTGTTGCAGCACTTGCTGTTGCTGCGCCAATTTGGCATTTAGCGTTTCGAGAAATCCAGATGCTGCCGTTTTGACATTTTTATTGGATTGCTGCTGCTGCTGCTGCTGCTGCTGTTGTTGTTGTTGTTGCTGCTGCTGTTGCTCCGAAATCGATTGCTTTCTAAGAGATTTCGGACTGCTGCTCACGTTTACACCTGCCACACTGCTATTCATAGTACCGATGAGCTTAGCGTTGAGTACTGCCATAAAACCCTGGCCAACACCGCCAGGTCCTTGACCTGCAGCTTGACTGTTTGCACCGGCCGTTTGTGCGCCAGCAGACCCACGTTCTTGGGACGTTGAACGAACAGTCGAGCAGGAACGTTCAACCGATGAACGAGTTATCTGTAGTACAGTGTTATGTTGAACAATACTCGAAGGGTTAGCGAATGCTTGTTGCTGCCCCGTAGCCTTTCGTAAGAGAGAAGGACTAGCAGGCGTATGACGGAGTTCCGTGAGAGTCCTCACAGTCTCAGAAACCGAAATAGACCTACAAGACAAAGAGATGTTAAATGTAATACATTGAGGTCATGAAAATTTTTAATTAATTTTTCCGTATTAAAGAGAGCTTAAAAATGAGAAAAGCGGAAAACATTTAAAACATACAATTAAGTAATCATCGAACTTGATTTTGAAACAATTCAACTGGAAAGAGCAACGTTGATTTTTACCTCTGAGGCGTAGGACTGGCAGTGGGCGAAGATCCTTCCAAGAGGAACGCAGGCGGAGGAGGAAGATTCTCGGTTTCGTCGCAAACGTTTTCGTTTCGGTCTTCGTTCACAGCCGACGTGGGAGGCGCGGTTATGACCGTAGATGTGCGTCTTGTCGGCGGCGGCGGTCTAGTCATCTGCTGCGTCGATCCTCTGCGTGTCATTAACGTGGCTGCAGCGCCGGGCACGTTCCATATATTCTCGTTTTGATTGTGAAGTGAGTGAGAATGAGGCAGCGTGTTTTGGCTTCCGTATCCGCTGCTGGATTCCAAGCTGGACTCGGATGTTTGACTGCCGGATTCTTTTTCCGGAACTTCAGTCTGCACAAATTTTACAGAACAAAAAAACTAGTTATATATATATGCACAGAAAAACAAAAAAAATCCAAAACAAATTCTCTTAATGCGCGTAAGCATTGAAATTAATTTTAAAAATATGAGATTACAAAGTATTGAATACCTTGTCGGTTCCTGGTGCTGTCAATGATGCAGGAGGGGGTGGCAGTGGAAGCTGCATTTCCTGAGCACGACTAGCAGCCAGATTTGCCAATTCATGCATATTCACATACATCGGCTGTTGAAGCTGATGGGTTGCCAATTCTGCATCACATCGTTATATTCGACATCAATTTAATTAACTTCACATCTAACAACACATAGAAATTGTTGTATTAATTAACCTTTCGCCAAATGAGCCGGAAGAGGTAACTTGGGTTTTCCGCGAGGACTTCCCGGCGGTTCGTTTTTCACCGGAATCGTCGGTCGTTCCAGGCTCGAGCATCTGTTTGGTATGGGCGGACGATTGCCGCTGTTATTCCTACGGAGTTGTACTCTAGACAGCTGATTCGAGGAAGAACATGATGAGGAAGATGAAACCGGAGATGCGGGCTGACTGTGACAACAACTGTTGCCATCGCGATCCGGTGCTTGGAATGTGTAAACGCTGAGCGCCGGTCTCTGATGTCCCTTCTCGTATGCTATCAGAAACAATAGTTTATAAAAAGTTTTCAATCAATCAAACCGTCGCACATCAACGCCACAACATATCAAATTGTAAGTATGCTTACCGGAAGAAATAGTATGCGGTCGTTCGTTCACTGTACTCGGATTTTGCCGATCGTATTGAACGGACGTTTCCTGTAAATCAGGCCAAGTTGAAGTTGTCACAGGTCTTGTTACAGTGCAACCGGTACTTTGATTATTTAGAGAAGACACATTCGATACCTAAAAATACGAGCCGTCTTTTTAAGCAAGATTTCTCAACGATACGATGTACAACAAGATTATATCGTATGTGTAAAATATGCATTCTCAAACTTTCGACTTCAAACATCTAAAACTGATATAAAGCCGGTTCAGCAGCAAACTATTAATCGATCAATAGACTGCGGAAGTTCACGAAGTCTCGCGTTGGGTCTTCAAAATTCCAGAGACAATCCAAAACGATCTTTTGAACTGTCAAATTCGAACAACAATGAAAGCTTTCTAAAAGTGTACTGTTAACTCTTACAAAAAAACTGGTCGTTAAAAGTGAAGATGATATCGTCTCGTCCGGTCTAGGAAGACTGATAATGAAACATCATAGATTTCCGCTAGTTTCTACTAATCACTAGACAACCTTACCTGATGCTCGGAAATGGGTTGGTTATACAACGTGTCCTGGGATGTGAAACCAGAGTCACGGGAACTGCCACTTGTCAAGTGACGTAGAGTAGCGATACCGCTGATGCTGGCGGGCCTGACACCAACTGGCTACAACGAGTACAACATCGACTACCACATACAACAAGCTGTCGCTCGACGGGCAAGTAGAGCGATCGATTCGCGCTGTAAAATCTGTGTGCAAATCTACCAGGGTGCATTGCAGCTGATGCATTAACATAGTGTGTTACCGTGTCATGCGATGTATAAAAATATCTAACAGGATCAGTCCGTAAAGATAAAAAAAGATGGGGGTAAGAAAAAAAAACAAGGTGAAAAAAAGGGATACTCCGAATTACCTGAGAAAGCGATCTGTGCCACGGATGTCCGGACGGACTCGGATGGCTTTTACAAGATCCACTACTGCTACTAGTTAGAGAACTGATCGAACACATAGAACTCTTCCTCGATCCAAGAGACAGTGACGGACTCGACGGCGGCGTGGCCAACGACCACTGAGTAACGTCGCAACCTTTTATATCCGTGATTACCTGCTCGGATGCAGGCGGTAGGTGATGCGGTGACGCGGCATGTCTTTGTAATTGATCGGAGACCTCTTGCAGATGTGTTAATTCCATCAACATCGCTATCTCTTCATCCTACATTATATTAATTATGTTTATATTTCTTTTTTAAATTTAGTTGAAAAATACGGCATAATATATCTGTGAGATATGAATACTAACGAGTACAGGTTTCAGGAATCGGGCAAGTAAGCAAAATCTGCCTCTTTCTTCAAGAAGGGCTGCGCGGACGGCCTTTCGTTCTGTTTCTTCTAAACTCAGTCTTTTCTCTTGAACAACTGCTGCCGACGATTCCAACATTTTAGTGAGCTCAACATCGCTAGAACCTGTCCCGTGACCGTGAGATTGTCCTTGGACGTGCAGGTGAACTTGACCTTTTCTTGCCTTCTTCTTTTGCAATCGTAAAGTATCAGTAGAACGTTTCTTTAATTCTGCCCTCGCTTTTTTGAATTCTAAATATAAATGAAAGATTGAAATGTAAAAGTGATTTTCTTCATAAAAACAAAATGTATTACAGTATTAAATACAATGATCATTAACCTTTAGCATGTTCTTTGTCTAAATTGATCAAAGACTTCTTCCAATCTTCTAATTTCTCTTGTAAAGGCAACACCAAACAGTCCATAATAGCGCTTGAAATAAGCAATGTTCATAAGTCGTCAGAAAACAAAAAGAGAATATCTACAAGTACATTAAATTTATTGCTGTATGTGCAACATTTCATACCTAGTGAACGACTTCATACGAGTTTCTACCGCTTTGTGCCTCAAACATATTCGTGTCAGTGCTGTTCCAATTTCCTTAGTTGCACCTTGTTTGCAACAATAAGATATCTTAATCTTTCTTTAATCTATTTATTTTATCTATTTTCTATCTACCTATTAATCTATATTAATCTTTCTTTAATCTCTTTTTAATTTATTCTTAATTAACTCAATTAAAATATTTGAATGTAAAGTGATGAAAAGCAAAAGTCATGATCTTGTACATTATATTGAGACTTACCTCTAGCATTAGTCGCTGCATCCGCTATTTTTTGAAAAGCCTCAAGATATGCAGAAATAGCCAAGATAGCAGCTCTGTAATATAAGTAATACTATATATTTTTAAAAAAACCAAAAAAAGAGGGGAAAAAACTTATATATTTATATTTAATTTACTAAAAACTCATATATAAAGATAACAAAATATTAACACAAAATACACATAACTATAATTTTATATTTTATAAAAAGTATATGCATATATACTTATACATATAACAAATTAAGCAAGTAACTTATAAGCATTAAAACTTATGTGGGTACTTAAAAATGTTTTTACCTCAGACTTGCATGTAATTTCGTAGCTTTTGAAATTAAATCTTCCCAAAGTGGTGTTCCATTCTGTAAAAACGAAAATAAACAGTAGCATTCCACATCTGTAAATAATTTTTTTTTTTACTATTCTCTTAATAATATTGGCTTTTATGTATCACATTACAGCTTGTATATCAACATAGACCAGGAAAAACCAAACTATTGCATAGATAATATAATCATATATAAACGCCCACATATCCTCTTTGATTAGATATTAGTTCATAGAACATGTGTCAGATGACATAGTTCAGATGAAAACAAATTAAACTAAGAAAAATAAACAAATTAAAGCAAATGTTCTTGCTTGTCAACATAAATCTTAGATTTTTTTGCTTCTAAGTTATAAACACAAAATATTTCTTACTTCGTTGCTCAAACAGAGTAGATGCAATACGTAAAAATTTAAACTATGGAAACACTGTCAATTTTTTGCAAAAGAATGTTTTTACTTCATAAAAGATAGAAAAAAACAACTTACCAATTATCGTGAGAAAAAGATATTTCAGAAACACACAGAAAAAAGGCTTTACAAACACAAGTGCAAGTGTCAACATAAAAAAAAAAAAAAACAAACAAACATTGACGATCGTATGCGGAACATGTTGCAAAACTCGACTAATAAAACGAATATATTTCGGCCGAGTTGTTCCTCACCTTCATGTCAGTGACGATCTGTTGAAACAAACCGCCTAACGCGCTGCACTCTCTCTCTATCGTCGCGTCCATCGTTTCTGTTCAGGCTGATCTGAATCCGGAACACTTGTGACAATTCACTCGCCCCGTCGTAAACACGTCGGCGAGTTCACTCCGCGCGATCGACGTATCGTCGCCAGAGGGAACGAACGGCACAGTCTATCATATTTTCGATCGCACGAAAGAGAAAGAGAGAGAAAGAGAGAGGGAGAGAGAGAGAGAGAGAAAGAGAAAGGAAAATGCAAGGATGGAGGGCGGCGACGAGATGTGTGCAAAGAAACAACGCGAAGCTGACCCGTATATTCGCTAATAGACTTGACCGATAGTGACGCTAAAGTAAATCCTCACTTTGCATTTTCTCCGAACGATGCGCCGTGAGAACGCGCGTTGATAAGCGCAAAGCGCGCTCAATGTAAACGTTATATACGAACGTAAACACAACACAACGAGGACGGATGCAAATGGTTGTCTCTCGATATTGCGAGTTTTCCTTCCGCTGTTTTCTCCTCGCGAGCACCGAGCGTAATCAACGTCGGTGATCTCGTTGGTTGCTCCCGTGTGGAGTGACCCCGTTCTAGAAATCGGGATCGATGCTATTCTGTATGCGTCTAATCGTTATTATACAGAGCGAAGTGAGAGAGGAAGAGGAAGAAACAGAGAGAGAAAGAGAAAGAGAGAAAGGAGCTGCGTTCGAAAAGCTTACGACAGAACTTAACCCGGAGCTCGGAATCGGACTGACGAACGACGAATGGATGGTTTTTTTTTTTTTTTTAACACGCTGATTGGCTGTCAGATGGGACATTTTTGAATCCCCCAGAAATCCCTTGTCCATCGGTCAATCAAAATTGTCCGACAGTTTTGACACGATACGTGATAAGACTCATCGACTAGAATTGCTGATCGCATATATTGCTCGAGAGAAATACGTTTCGATTGGCCATCCCATTTCTTGTCCACAAGCTGGACAAACACACGCGGCGCAAATTAAAAGTCCACCGAAACACAAGGTAATCTTCAATAGAGACACTTCTCGGAGCTGTGTCATCACAAAGCATCAGTGAGTCGAACTCCAGTGTGGAAATCAAAACGAGTGACGAATATATTCTGAATGGTCTCTTGACTGATTTCTCGAGGGAATAATTCTGGAGGTCCCGCAAGCAAAATTTTTAACAGTAATTCACTGTGAAAGATCTTAATTTCGTAATAAAAACCCCGAACCCGTTGTTTAGTCTTGTACGATGAGCTATCGGTGTCGCAAAATGTAAAGCAACCCGTGCACCAGTTTTTTGAGAAATTTTTACACAATATTCACGCTTCACGATTTAACAATCGCAATCGCTTTTATTTTATTGCGTGCGCGGTTTGTGCGTGCTAACATAATTTGTGCAAATTTCACGATATCTCAATACGTTTGCAAGCTATAATTTTTGTCTCGGTGTGCGAAGAGAGAAAATGCTTGTAGTTTATGTAAATAACAAATTCTCTTTTTCAGTTGAAGATATATGTATGTTGTGTATGATAATTTATAGTGCTTTATGATAACAAAACAATGAAACAAAGAGAGAAAGAGAGAGAGAAAGATACTAAATCAAAAACAAGAAAATAACACCATAAGAACAATAAAACATAATACTGAAGAGATATGTAAATTCAATGCATGCATTTACTAAATACAAAGAGTTATTGTATTGAAGAAAGAGAGTGAAAAAAGATAATCTCCGGTATTGTATCTGTACAAAGGTAAATTTTATATTTTGAATAATATATACTTACTGATAATAAGTTTGTACAAACATCTCACATGTAGAAATAGCATAGTGTAGAAAGTTTTTTGAGTAACAAAAATACTCTCTTGATCACACATATGTATTTATATTTATTTTTTGTGTATGTTTATATACAATACTTTGGTCTTTCTTTCTCTTTCTCTTCCTCTTTCTCTTTCACTTTTTCTCTTTTTCTCTCTCTCTCTTTCTCTCTCTCTCTCTCCCTCTCTCAGTCTCCATCTCCAGGATGTAGTAGAAATTTTAAAATATAAGCGATAACTATGGTTAATCTCTAATTAAATTTGTTTTTTGTAGACAATGCCCTAAAATCAAAAATGTGACACAAAAGTACAGCTCTAGTTTTAGTTGCAATAATAAAATTTATAAGTTTTCTTTTTTTTAATCAAAAAATATCTTATAAACACACAAGAACAATTTTTTTATGTATGAAATAAAGAGACTATATTATTTTTTAGGTATATTGAAACATCAGTAATCAAATCTACTCCGGATCACAAAATTTCCAATGATGTTTTCATCAGGCCTCAGCTGTAATCTTTCATTTCCTAGTTGTTTGGGCTATCCACAAGATAGTGAGGAGTTAATTCCAAAAATGGCACGTGAACCAATTATTCTTAATGTATATGACATGGTAAGCTATACTAAACAGATTTAACAATTATTAAGAAAAATAGAAAATAACTTTTATAATATGTATAATATATAATATGATGCTTTGCAAACTCCAATCGTTATATCTCTAAATAATATATTAGTTAAGAAAATATCAGTATTTTTTCTTTAGATTTAAGTGTTTATTTGATATAATTTAATTAATCCAATATTATTTTGTATAGTATTGGATAAATGAATATACCACACCTATTGGCCTCGGTGTATTTCATTCAGGTGTAGAAATATATGGAACAGGTTAGTATCCAAGATATGTAAACAAGTATATGTTTAATAAACAAACCGTATGTTAATGTATGTGAAATTTGAAGGTCAATTTTTATTCCTTCAGTACACACTCAGCTGTCGCGACAACAATATAAAGGAATAAAGATTCTTTCTCAATCAACGATACACAACTAATGTACATCGCACACATCCAATAGATTTAATTTTATTAATGCCATTGATAAAGATCCGAAACTAGGATCAAAACGTTTAGCTTTTGAAATAAATTACTTTTTACACAAACAACCAGTACCAACCTTGTATTGGCCCTCAAATTTCACATATATTGACATTATCACGATGTCTACACATCGTTTCATTTTGAAACCGTATGTTATTTTAAGATATTGATTTATATAAAACGAAAAAATAATGCCTAGTACACATATATTTATTGTAGAATATGCATATGGTGGTCACACTCAGCCAAGAAGTGGCATTTTTGAAATCACACCAAGAGTTGCTGAAGAACTGGGTGAACAATTTAGATATAGGTAAAGGTTTTATATGTTTTATAATTCTTTTATATGTAGAAACTGAATACATTCAAGTGCTGTACATAAATTATAATAAATATTATACGAACAACTTTATTTCTTATCTCTTAGGCAATCTGTTCATATTGGATATACAGATTTCACAGAAGAAGATGTTCAAAGAATTATTGCAGAATTGGGAAAAGATTTCAGAGGAGACCGTTATCACCTGATGAATAAAAATTGTAATCACTTTAGTAGTCAGTTTACACTGGTACGTTGCTATTGCTAATATTAATCAACGTTATTGCACACGGATGATATAATAAAAGTTCATTGATATACTTCAGATTTTGTGCGGGCAAGAGATACCTGGTTGGGTAAATCGTCTAGCGTATTTCAGTTCGTGTGTACCATTTCTTCAACGTTGTTTACCAAAAGAGTGGCTAACGCCCGACGCTCTGCAACACTCTCTAAGCCAAGTTAGTCATCACGAAAGTACACCACCATCGGATACCTCGTTGTAACATTTAGCCACTAAGCGATCTAACACTAGGCGAGTTGAACTTTGCGATCTACTATACCGAGTTGAAATACACGGTTCAGAATATTATAGAAACACAGAAGAAGGAAGAAGAAATACAATTTAGAAAATTAAACTTGGTGAAAAAAATTGTTAATATTAATTAGAATTGGCTATATCGCCAAGATTTGCAAATCTGAGAAACTAAACCGTCAAGATAAGGTACAAATTTGATATTGTACACTTGAATGCGACAATTAGTACCGGAGAAATTGCCGCATTGCTGCAACTATCTTTTAAAACGGCAATCTACAATGTCGCATGTGTTCTATTTGTTGAATAATACAATCAAGATATATGATAGTTACATACACAAAAATAGAAAGATATAATTACATATAATGTCAAATCATAATGAACAGGAGAGATTTGCCGATAAGAACAAAATTGTTACTCAGTAATGAAGAACGTTTATTGAAATGATTTTTTTTTTTTTTTTTTTAACTCTCTTTTAAGTACTCTTTTAAGTACTCTCTCTTATTTCTCTTATTTCTCTTATTTCTCTTATTTATACTTGAGACTGTAAACTATCGTTTTAAAATATAATGTATGTGTGATTGGCTTAAATATTTAATTTATATTTGCTTTTTATAATTAATTTTTTATACATAGTGTTAATATATAAATTTTAACGAGGAATATATTATATGGCTGACAATAGAAACAAATGATACACAGGAAAGACTTGAAGTTGAGGTATGCAGAAATGAGTATACCAAAATTATCAAATCCAAACAACAAATTTTTGATTTGGATAATCTAAAAACTTGTACATTTTTTTCTATTACACTTTACTGATTTCCTCGAATCTATAAAAATTTATGTTATAATGTGTGTAGCAATATTTTAGTTAAAAACAAAATATGGTATATCAGGATATACTCTTCTTGATACTTTTAATCCTTACATATATTGTTTCTATGTTATACACATTTGTGTTGTTTGTGTGATTGATTATATTCGTATTGAGCGATCATGATCTCTGTAGCAAAAGAAAAATAATTGAATTTGGTTCATTTGTTCATTTCACTTGTCTTCTGATCAATATAAACATAGTGATGTCCGTTGCGCAATGTAATCTATACTATATTTGTAACAACCAAGAGCACAGATAACTCTATTTGTATATACGTATAATATATATAATGCATTTTTAATATATAAAGATGTCAGAATAAATCGACGTTACATCGTTTTTTTTATGAATACTTTATTTGCTGCATGTTTTTAAGCAAATTCCTTTTTGAAAAACTACGATAATGATAATGTATTCTCTGATTCTACACACAAAAAACGAGGCAACGTTTGCGCGTGGCAAGTAGCAAGAGATAACGCGATATCCAATCGATGTCTCGCTTTTTCAGAAATATAACGGCTTATATTTCCGGAAAAACGAGAAGTTGATTGCAGGGCCACCAAACAGCCATATAAATTCTATGGAATCCAGTGGTACCACAGAGATGCCAGTTCGTGGACTTAGTAAGCATTCAGCATCAAGTGGAGGGGATACGCACACAGGCGACAGCCGTGTCCGTGTGGTTGGCCAACCATTGACCGAAGCGCCGAGCGCACACGGACACGGTTGTCGCCTGTGTGCGTATCCCCTCCACTTGATGCTGAATGCTTACTAAGTCCACGAACTGGCATCTCTGTGGTACCATAGACGTAACATTCTACGTCTATGTGTAGAATGGCCTTAGGCTCGTTCTACAATACAGTCATAAGAAATTGGCCAATCATAATCGATTATTCTTCTGCGAATAGACTGTGATTGGTCAATTTCTTGCTTCTGACTTCTGATTTATTACCAATATCTTAGGCTGCTTTCCTTTTAGGAGACAGAGTCGACACAAGTCGACACAAGAGTCATTTTGTCTTTGTTTCTCACTGAATACTGAACGAAGACAGAATGACTTTTGTGTCGACTTGTGTCGACGACTGTGTCTCCTAAAAGGAAAGCAGCCTTATTGTATAGGAGGCCCTTTAGCGAGAAAGAGCGACACTTTGCCCGGTTATTTTGCTTATTTTCATTTCGTGCAAGAGAACGCGTCGATTGATATAATTACATATCAGAGAGTTAAACTCTAATAATTACTTAAAATTTAGTGTATTACACAGGTAAGACTTCGTTTTATTATACTGTTAAAAATCATGTGAGTATCTGTATTTCACTTGTTTGATAGGTTAAGTTTAAGTACACGTGCTTCATCTCGCCGCGTGTTAATGAGGAATTATAAGATTGTTAAAATGAGGAAAGCATGCTTGATTAACGTTTACATTCGATGCAAATGCACGAATACACAAAGCAGCACTCGTACTTCTACAAAGAGCCAGTGGAAAAAAATACATCTAAAAAATGATCAGGATTCGAAATGTGTTCATCAGGATTTACTTCTTAAAACTGATTCTTTCACATCAAGTTCTATTCACAATACACCTGTGATACCCAACAATTTTGAGACAGGTTATTGCAAGTTTTTTGCCAAATTCTCCGAAAACACAGATTTAAATTTACCAATGCCAAAGAATACTCAGGAATTAAAAAAGTCAGAGAATGGCATTAATGGTTATTTAGAAACAAATGTGAAAGAAGATACTGTCAGAGTTAATGAAATAAATATGCAAATGCTATCTAAACCATTGCAAGAACATTTATTTGGAAAATGTGACAAGCAGAAACTCTTCTCAGAAGAAGAAATAAACAATATAAAACAAACTTTAAGTGCGTATGGCATAAATGTAAAGGATGCAACTAGATTACCAGATGTGAACCTGAAGTTACCAGATCTAGAAGGAAAAGATATAGAAGAACATTTTTACAATATTGGAAAAGCACAAGCTAAACCGTATCTAAAACTTATAAATAACGTTTTAAAAGATATTCCTGAAATGCCAAAACAATGGCTTTTCAATGAAGGATGGACTAGATATACAACAGATGGTACAACAGAAAGTGTAGATTATCCACTAGAAGATGTTGTGATCTTTGATGTTGAAGTTTGCGTTAAACAAGGTCCTTTGCCTACCCTTGCAACTGCGGTTAGTAATAAAGCTTGGTACGGTTGGGTATCAAAGTCTTTGGTACAAGGTATTAGTCAGACATTTGACACGCAATTATTTACACCAAGTTTACTTGTTCCTATGGAAAGCACAGAAGAAGAATATGGACACAAGTTAAATCAGCATCAAAAGAAACCAAAAATTATTGTAGGTCACAATGTATCATATGACAGGAGTAGAATTAAAGAACAGTATTGGTTAAACAGAACAGGAACTCGTTTTCTTGACACCATGTCATTGCATATATGTGTCAGTGGTCTAAATAGCTATCAAAGATCATTATTGTTATCCAAGAAAACAGATCCAGAGAAGGACAATTGGCTATCCAATACTTCATTAAATAGTCTGATAGAAGTACACAAGTTGTACTGTGGTTATGTGATAAATAAGGAATCAAGAGACATATTTGTTAAAGGCACTATCGAAGATGTCAAAAACAATTTTGATATGTTGATGACTTACTGTGCATCTGATGCAGTTGCCACTCACAATGTTCTGCGCAAGGTATTCCCGCTCTTTCAAGAGAGATTTCCTCATCCGGTTACATTAGCTGGAATGTTGGAGCTCGGCTCTACATACTTGCCAGTAAATTCCAACTGGCAAAGATATTTGGAAGAATCAGAATCCACTTTTGATGATTTAAACTACGAAGCAAAATTCACTCTCGCTAAAAGAGCTGACGCTGTTTGTCATCTTATGCACAATGAGAAGTATAAAGAAGATTTATGGATGTGGGATCAAGATTGGGCTACACAGAAAATTAAAATAAAGAAAAAATTAACGAAAGCAAAATTATCCGTTGACACAGAGACAACGGTAGTCCAAAAAGTACATGATCAGACAGATAATAAAAAATATTTGTCAGATAACGAAGAAGAAGAAGAGGATCATCTAGCAAAAAAGTTTGCTTACTTGGAGGAAACCAGACATTTGTTGCCAGCTAAAATGCCTCACATGCCGGGATATCCAACCTGGTACAGGAAACTTTGTCCCAAACAAAGTGACGAAAATTGGACACCAGGTCCACAGAACATCAGCACCTCTATGCAAGTGGTTCCAAAGCTGTTGAATCTCACATGGGAAAAATATCCATTGCATTACATCAAGGATCACGGTTGGGGAATCTTGGTACCTTATAACAACGATCCTCACGTCGATACTGAACTTCCATTTAAAAATCTTCTGGCGCATTGCCCTTTAACAACATCTAATGGATCTAGAGACACTTCGAACGACGCAATGACCACTTTGGGCACTGATGTGGAAAAGAATCTTCATAAAACAGAATTCTGGCGTTTGAAAAAGAATCAGAACGGACCAGAACAAATATACAAGGGCACCGGTATGTGGTGTAACATTGATATTGACAACTGTTGCTACTTCTTCAAGCTGCCGCACAAGGACGGTCCTAAATATAACGTCGGAAATCCGCTTGCTAAAGATTTTCTCAATAAATTCTCCGAAAACGTACTCGCCGGCTCGGACGCCAGCGCGGCGGAAATGCTAAAGATCGCTCGTATGCTATCGTATTGGCGAAACAATCGTGATAGAATAATGTCGCAATTGGTAATATGGCTGGACGAGCGTTCTTTTCCCATTGGCATGAAGAAGTCGAAGAAACATACACGTTATGGCGCGATAATACCTCAAGTAATCGTTTCCGGCACTTTAACGCGACGTGCCGTGGAACCCACGTGGATGACGGCATCAAATGCTCACTCTGAACGAATCGGTTCCGAATTAAGATGTATGATCCAAGCGCCTCCGGGATATAATATAGTGGGCGCCGATGTGGACAGTCAAGAGCTGTGGATTGCCTCGATTATCGGAGATGCACATTATAAAGGTATTCATGGAGCCACACCTTTCGGATGGATGACTCTTATTGGCACGAAATCTAACGGCACTGATATGCATAGTGTCACTGCCAAGGCTGTCGGTATTTCGCGCGATCATGCCAAAGTCATCAACTACGCACGGATCTACGGTGCTGGACAGAAATTTGCCGAACAGCTATTGAAGCAGTTCAATCCATCTATGACAAATGCAGAGGCCGTTTCCAAGTCACGAAAAATGTTCACTCTCACCAAGGGTAAGAAGGTATTCCGATTAAAGCCTGAATTCGTTAATGACGATCTGGAAGACAAACCTTATACAAGCTATCAGGCGTATCAAATAGCAAAGCTGCATGGTAAACCGTTGAAAGAAATGTTTCAAAAGAGCGAGTGGATAGACGGCTCGGAATCGGCTATGTTCAATCAACTGGAGCAAATCTCCAGCAGTAAACAACCAGTCACGCCGTTTTTAAACGCGAGACTGAGCCGCGCTATGGAGACTACCAACACTGACGACGACGACAAGTTTCTACCCACGAAGATCAATTGGGTGGTGCAGAGCGGAGCGGTAGACTTTCTTCATTTAATGTTGGTTTCTATGAGATGGTTGATGAGAGATAATGCGAGGTTTTGTCTTTCGTTTCATGACGAAGTGAGATATTTGGTCCCATCCAAGTACAAGTACAATGCTGCTCTGGCCATGCATGTGACTAATTTGATGACAAGAGCATTTTGTGCCTCGAAATTAGGCATGAGAGATCTGCCAATGTCAGTGGCGTTCTTCACCGCTGTGGAAGTTGACACTGTTCTTCGCAAAGAATCTGCGCACGATTGCAAAACCCCGTCGAATCCTCATGGTTTGCAAAGTGGATACGAAATACCACCCGGCGAGAGTTTAGACGTGTGGACAGCTTTGGAGAAATCCAACGGTTTTCTAGGCTGGTGGAACGATGGAAAAAAAGATCGCACAACCAAGCCAACAGATTCGACCGTCGAAGAATTGTCGCAATAATGTTCAAAACAAGAACCACAAAAAAACTGAAATTAAACTTAAATTAAATAATATATTTTATATCATAATTTAAAAAAAAGCAGAGTTTTGTTTCTTCATTTATTTATAAACAAAAGGGAAGATCAGTGGAAGAAAGTAAATAAAAATCCGAATTTTTTCAAATGTATTTTTACAGAGAGCACGATGTCTGCAGCATCGAAGCGCAAATATGTTTTTCAAGAGTTCGATGATATGACACTCCCCACAGATTCGCAAATCATTGTGCGGATCGTCTCAGCCCGTGGTCATAGTCTCTTCGAAATTGTCACTCCTGCTGGAGAAGAATATCTCGTCTCAATGCCAACTAAATTCAGACAGAATATTTTCGTAAAGAGAGGTGACTACATCATTGTCGAACCAATCAAAGAAGGCAATAAGGTCAAAGGCGAAATTGTTAAGATACTTTCAAAGGTAAGATTTAACACACATTGCTTCGTTCTAATTGATTTACACACGTACGTAATATTTGCAACGCGTTGTTTTCAGGATCACATTAAATGGTATCGCGAACAAAATTGCTGGCCATCGGAATTTAACGAGGATCTGAAGAGAAACGGAGATTCAATAAAAACGAATTATGCTCTTTGTGACGATGAGGAACTTTTCGTAAATACGAATAGATGTCATCTTAACCAGCAAACGGATGATAGCGATTCAGATTCTAGTTCTAGCTCTGACGACAGCGATTCAGATTCTAGTTCTACCTCTGACGACAGCGATTCAGATTCTAGTTCTAGCTCTTCGATTGATTACGTCGTAGCTCCAAAAGACTGTACTTATTGTTAGACTTTCTTCTCTTATATATATATATATATATATATATATACAGGGTGTCCCAGAATTGCCGTACAATCTCTCGTAGGCAGGTAGAAGGAGTAAAACTGAGTCGAAAAGTCCTGAACCATTTTTTTCTATTATTTATAATAAAGGAGTAATTATTGAGTAAAT